AGGATCATTCTGTTGTACTGGCGTGGACACAATTTCAGTCTGTAAAGATTTAGCAGCAAACGGATTCAAGTCAGAACAAAATGAAAAAGGAATTTCGTCTTCTTTTGTTTTATTTGCGATTTCAGCCAATCTTCCTCCAGTACGTTCGCAAGTAAACATTCCTTTCCATGGAAGAGAAATTCCGAGGACTTCTATCTGTAGCACAAACACAATGCAGAGAAGTGTTTGTTTTTAAACTGTTTTTTTCTTTTGATGGTGGCTAATCATAAACTCAAACTAGTTCAGAGCATGGTGAAGCTAATAGATAAATCATCAATTTCAGCCTGGAAAGTAGTTAGTACCTGACCAAGAGTCATAGGGATTCTAACAGAACCCGCTGGATAAAATGTCACAGCAACGACACGGGTCAAGAAATCCAATTTTCCTTCTAATTCTTCAAAATCATACAGCAGTGAAAGACTAGACGTATCTTTTTCATGAAGACGCGCACCAGCTCCAGTAACAGCCATATCCTCAGAACTAATTGGCCCTGGTAAGGGTATCAGAAGATTTGTACCATTTGCACACCGCGGTATCGAAGCACCCTGTCCAAAAAACATAATTACAGGCAATCGGTTATCCAGTTCAACTAACTTTCATGTAAGTCTATATGATCTCCTCCATACAATAAAAGAGAAGGGACAAGACCTAAAAGAGAGTCAACCTCAACAACTAATTTAAGGTCCTCTATGTGGCGTCCAGTTCTCACGTCCACAGTGGATGGACATGTCAAATCATCCGCACCATGGGATATTGTCAGTAGAAGTTGACATACATGGCAAGGCTCACTGAGATAGATAAACAATTCCACAATATCTGCAGCTTGTGGACATAACTGCAGAGTATAAAAAGCATGAAATTATTTTAGCTCAAGTTTTCCAGTAATGAGAACTAAGAGGTAATGTTATATCCAAGTAGAGGTACCCAAGTTATGTCCTTCCTCTTGATACTCAGCAGACTGGACCCATCACTGGAACTTTCGGACATGCTAGGTACAGGTTTCAGAAAGAAACCACATGGTCGAGAAAGTACCTGCCATGAAAAAAGTTGCAGTGAGCAGTAACATTGATATAGTTGCAGTGAGCAGAAGGCTGAAAATTCAGAAATAAACAAATTGTGAACTCTACATATCAATAAAGAAGACATTCTCTCAGGAATCATATCTCTCCACAAAAACCAAAATAAAGAGCTTCTGTCCAGCATGAAGCAAAATCTACCAACTTGCAAAAATATTTCAAATACTTTAAGACCAGTTTATATACATGGAAAAATGGTGGCTATCAGATGGAAACAAGGGACTGAAATTGTGTCAATTTGCTTACATGTAAAGGCTGTACAGGAATTGATGGAAGATGCTTGAAAAGCCTCATTCCCAGAAACATCTCCAGCTGTTTTTGCCGTGAACTATCAACCATTGCATTTTTATATCTTCTCTGTAGGGTAATTTTCATGTTTTTCTGTGCTGCAGAAAACTGTTTAAACGCTCCAGATTCTTCACTGAAGATATTGAGAACTTGGCTGTGCATAGCTTTTGATCCAGTATAGAGAGTTGCATGGATATCACCTTGTTGTAGAAAAAGATCTGCGAGCTCAGACACAGGAGATAAGATAGTTGATCTCTTAAACTCCTCAAACTTCATGTCAAGTCTCTTCCATGGTTTATCAGGACATGGATGACTCCATGTTGTTGTCTTAGTATTGTGATCTATAAAATACGATTTTCCAGTGACTGCATCAGCTCTTTTTTCCCATCCCGGTGGAAGAGGAGCGTTATATCCGCCTTGGCTATTAACAGAATTATAACCATATCCAAGATCAGAGTCAAGTGATATTCCCAGCCGTCTACATTGCTCTACAAACACTTGAAGACCACCGAAGAAACTAGCGGCATTTGTTCGATCCAAAGAATCAGCGCAGTTGAAGCGTATCACCCCGTTTTGATGCGATCTCAAACAGAAGGCACCTTCTACGTCATCAATACAGATCACCTCACCTCTGCAATCTTTCAGTCTCTGTCGTGAAGGTAAATAGTCACCTTCAGAGATTCCTATTGCCATAGTGGGAGATTTGAGGTACATCCATAATCCTTCAATTGTTTGCTGTTCCCCCTTTAATTTCACACTGGCATGCCAATCGTAATTTATTAAATGAACACGAGTATAAGGAAGCTTTCCACTGGATTTGATGAAGTTCATCGATTCTTCAAAATGTTGAACTAAGATGGATTCTGATTTCCCTTCTCCATTTCGTAACAGATTAATGCACACAATAGGAACAAACGCCTTTTTCTTCTGGTTTTCCCCAACTGGTGCATCTAGATCCCTAGTATCATATCGCTTGCTTAACCTTTGGTAATACTCCGTGCTTCCTTTATACGGATCCCTATCTGCCACATAAATTTCTGCTTCTGCCGCTGTCATCTTCAGTTCTGCACCCCACCATATAGGTATGGTGCCACGTCGCCAAATGTATGAGCTAAAAGCAATGCTCTGACCATGCCTTTTAGGTGTCCATACAAGCTGCTCACACTCAACTTCGTTGCCTGCACTACACATATTCTTATAAAATTAGGCCCTAGTCAAAATCCAGAGCCACAATCACATCAAATGTATGCCTTTCTTTCAGTCAGCCATTGATTTTAAGGATGCCACTGGAAGTAACAAGTCATACATATACCCATATTTTGGTAGGTACAGAGCCCAACCAAAAACATCGTAAACCTAGTAAAAGCATTAACAACAGACAAGTAACAAGAAAAGAGGAATCTCGGGAGCATCTCACCAGTGCCAGAACATGAATTAATGCCCCTAGCTAAGTAACGAGTCCCTGGGTGCAGTCTGCTGCGACGGGCCATTAGAGCAACGATCCCTTCTAATTGACCTGAGCTCCCAAAAGGTCTATATTCGGCAAACCCCTATATATAAATAAGAAGACATAATGTGAACTTCTCTTAGAATATGAATTCAAATGCTTATGAGACTTCGCATGAAAACAAAAATCTGATAGGGTGATCAATTCATCAATGGAGCACGAACCTGCAGAAGAATGGCACAGTGTTCAGCCAGCCCAATATTCTTAAAAGGAACGGATAACCATCTATTCCAAACGAATTCATCGTCAGGGGTCTGTACCGGCATACGGCTTGGGAAGGGCCGAGTGATGTCTCTAGTATCGCAGAAGTAGTGTTTCCCGTCGATGTCAAGCTCCGTCAACTCCTGAATATTCTTCATTTCACCTTTCCCTTGAGGCTGTGGATTGTGAAGAGGTATCTTGACCCATTGACTCTCAGTCACTGTGTATACACATCCCCCACCAGGCAAATCCGGAATACTTGGATTTAGCTTGGTCGCAACAAGAAGCATCCCAAAGCTCCCCAACACAGCATAACCGAGTATTGCCCTGCCATAAACTGAGCTTCTACAGACTCCTCTTGATCCATTCGTGATATAATCTACGGCTTCACGCTCTGACTTAAAGTTATCAAGACCAGGCTTCCCATTGTACCGCAGGACACCAGTCGTAGGATCGACATAGATAACCTGAGTGTCAGCCCTAGAGAACAGACTAGCTATGACATAGACTTCACCAGAGTCTAAGGTGGCAACAACTATAGATGTCTTCTGACCACCCACTGCAAGAAGATAAGGATTTAGCCAACCAAATAATGACAAACACCTAGAGAGAAAGAGGATAAAAAGTTTCCATCTTTCGAAAACAAAACCACAAAAATAGAAGTCACCTGGTGGACGCAGATCCATCTGAACTCAGGACCAAGCGGAGCAGGTGCCCTCTTGACAGCTTCACGGATCAAGATATCAATATGAAGCCAAAAGTCTAACAAAAGACAACGAAATGAAGAAATCATTCAACTGAGATCCAGAGAAATAATTAGCAATGGAATCCCAAAATGCAGCATACAGTTAGTTCTATAATTAACGCCGAATAGAATTCAAAGTGAGAGATTATCTTCTTAAGAAAGAAATTCTCCAAGATCACTGAGAAAAAAGATTCAGACTTTTCTCACAAAATCCGTTGTCTCTATTCCGATTAAAAAAAACAGAGATCTGAAACTTAGAATAGCAAAACTATAGACGCAAACCGAAGATTGATAATCGGAGAAAACAGAGAGAAACATTGTTCAGAGAAATCGATTCGAGTGATTAGTCATAAGAGAAGGAACTCACCTTGTAAGGAAGCATGAAGTTGCAGAGATGATCAGATGCAATTTTTTTGGCAAAAGTCGAACTATCGAAGAAGAGGAGAAGCAAATCGGGTATGACACAGCCCACGGAATGAAAACAATCATCGTATGACACGTGTAAAATATGTAATTGATTTATAAAACAGAGTAGAAGTTATTGAAAACTTCGACATTGGACCTATTAGTTTTGAAATTTGACGAATTGACCCATTCGTTATAATAAGAAAAAAAAATTAGAGATGAGAGAGAGATGAAATAACGGCTTTGACAAGCCACACGATTATATTCACTTATCTTCCTCCACCCAATCCAAATTGCGACACAAATCTCTGTCGAATCCACGCGCCCACAGCTTTCATCAACCTCACTCCACTATTCTCAATTCTCATGAAACTCCATCGCCGACCTTGACGCCAGATAGGTTGATCTTACTGCATTTGATCTCTCTTCTTGAGTTTCTGATATTTGTTGTAAATTTGCGAGATTTGACCTCAGACAGAATAATTGGATGATTGGTATTCTTATTGCAGGTTTCAGACGAAACCCGTTACTGTAAATCTGCTGCTGGAGTCTTAGTGTCTGTCTCTTCTCGTTGCCTCGCTGTTTCTTCTTGGTCTGTGATTTTTGTTTTTTGTTTTGTTACACTTTCTGTCTCAGATTTACAAGATTGACATTTTGTATCTGAAATCTATTTCTTGTTCCTATTTTTTTTTCCGGTATGTTATGAAAGCTATGAGATTGCTATAAGAATCCGACAAAAATGTTTCCCCTGTGCTCGGCCGCAAGCTGCCATTACCATTCTCAGGTCAGATATCTAAAAAAATTGTCTTTTGCATGGACAAGTAATTGACTTATAACCGAATTGTTCCTGCAGATTCTGTTTCATGGAAACTGGCGAGGCTCTTCTTCCTTGAAGAGAGAGTCCATTCACAGATGCGATTCTGGTGACAAGGCCTTCTTTGGTATCTCTAATGGAGTCCACATGCATAAGGTCTGCGGGATCCGAGCCACGGGTCGTTTCTTCACAGGGACTTTAGAAAACACAGAACAACCAGTGTCCACCGATTTATTAAGAAGCTTTCACTACACGGTCTATGACACAAGAGAAGGTGTTGTACCAAGTGATCTTTTTCTTGTAAGCAATGAGGGACTTGCATCTGTAGAAAGCGCACCAGATGTTTCCCCTGCTGATACTATTGCTGCTGAGACGTTAACCGGAAACAGCAGTAGCGTTACAGTCACGGTTGAGCCAGGAACAGTATCAACCGTTGATACTTCTGTCGCTGTGACTGATCCCGGTTCAGTTCCTGATGCTAAAGCTAGCTTTGATGAATTTTCTTCTGGGGTCAAGGAGTCCTTCAGCTCTTCGCTAGACCAAGGAGAGAACGCTGTAAAGAGCACTTTGGATTCCTTCTCATCGTCCGTGACATCCATTACAAAGAGTGCTTCTGAAGCTGTAGACAGTGCATTTGACAGTGCGTTTTCTACTCTAGACCAGACGGGAGATATAGCTGGAGATAAGTTTTCGAGCTTTTCCACTGGCTTGAAAGAAGTTTCAAACAGAGCAGCTTCTGTGGCCATCGATCTGTTGAGGCAATCAGTTAGTGTTGCAGAGAGTTCTGTATCAAATGGAGTTTCCTTTGTCGTGTACTCTTATGAGTCAGCGAAGGAATTACTTCCTTCAGATGTTAAGAGTGTGCTTACCTCATCAGAAGATATCGCTCTCAAAGTAACGAGGCCCTTGGGAGCTGTGTTGCAGCAGGTGCTTTGTCTTTTATTCTGAAGTTTTCCACTCTGATTTTTTTTTGTCTACTTATTAATGAACCACTTGTTTCTAACATCATCATGATGAACAGGTGTATGTTGCCATTGGAGGTTTGGAGAGATATTTCGGCTTGGATCCTGATGATCCAATCATCCACCTTTTTCTCTTCGTAGGCACCACAGGAAGCTTTTGGTACACGGCTTTTCTTACCCTGGATGGATATTATTAAACTTGCAGAAGAAACAATGTAGTTGTATAGAATAATTTATATTTTCCACCAGATATTTGCAGGGCTCTATATCGGGTTTGGACATATGGTGGGTATGCTGGAGATTTATCTGCAAAATCAACTCTTGAGCTTTTAACATCAACAGAAAAGCCAGTGCTCGTAGATGTCAGGCCTGAAGTAAGACGCTCTTTGAGTTTCCAACGAGTTCATTGTTCATTAACTTTTCAAAAATCTCCACAATGACTTTGTGTTGAAATAAAAAAAAAGATTCATCTTGGCTTCTGTCCTTTTGAAGGCCTTGAGAGAGAAAGATGGAATCCCTGATCTGCGTAGAGCAGCTCGTTCTCGATATTCAAGTGTGACACTGCCCGAGGTTAGTTTCAGCATCCTCATCACTGCTACAAGAACTCAATGAAACAGGAAGCAGGACTTTGCTTTCTTCACAGTTTTATGGTTCTTGTTCTTGATTCATGTTTAAGGTTGACGGTGCTGTTAAGCGGCTACTGAAAGGTGGGAGTGAAGTTGATGATGTCTTGACGGCGGTTATCATCAAGAACTTGAAAGCAGTTCAGGTCTGCCGACACCTTCATGCCTCTTTCGTAACTTGATATGGTTTTTGTGCATTCCCAAGCAATTTTAGTGGTGGAGATTCAGTTTTTCTAAAGTATGCTGACATCTCATAAACTTTGCTTACTCTGCTGCTTATAGGACAGGTCCAAGGTTATTGTTATGGATGCTGATGGAACACGCTCTAAGGGCATTGCAAGAGCCCTGAGAAAACTTGGGATTAAGGCAAGTAATTCGATTTCAACTCACTTTTAGTACTACAGTTAGTTACCTTAAAACATATTTGAATAAGTTCTCCTTTGTTGGGTTATAATGTAACAGAGGCCATACTTGGTGCAAGGTGGGTATAGATCATGGGTTAAGGAAGGTCTACGTGTGAAAGAGCCGAAACCTGAGACAACACTTACAATCCTCAACGAGGTATCTATCACCGTTCTTCACCGTACTATTGGCGTTACTGTATCTATACAATTCTTTTATGAAATGAAACTTTTCTCCAGAAAGTTAAAAGCATATTCTTGAAAAAAATTTAGGATGCTGAGGCGATTCTTGAGGACATTAATCCTACTCCATTGCAAGTAGTTGGAGTTGGTGTGGTATGTTTCTTGTTCTGTTTTTCAATGTCTGTAAAGTATAAATCCCATCTTGACTAACACAATGCGAGCTATGCAGGGGTTCTTCGCAGCATTGTATGCTTTGTTTGGTGCGTTTAGTTCTTTCTCATCTTCTCTTTTAGAATCTCTTCTTCTCGCTTTGAACATTGCGCTAACATGATTGTTATATCTCTCGCAGAGTGGGAGAAGACACTGCAACTCATAGCTGTCTTGGGCCTCGGTTTGGTATTCACTGACTTCTAAGTTTTCACCGGTCAAAGTTATCGTTTCGTTTTGTTTTGTTTCTCAAGTCTCAAACATTATGCAGACTGTATACAACCGACTTTCTTCATATGATGACTCCGAAGACTTCAAGCAAGACGTCAGGTATATAAAAGCGTCATCTTTGTTCATAACAGAACCTCGGGAAAACCTATGTACAGTCTTAACAAAGACTTGTTTCTTTACTCTTCTTCAAGGCTGTTGTTCGCACCGGTGAAGCTTGGAGCTCAGGCTGTCTCATGGGCTGCAGGAAAACTTGAGACGAACGGTGTTGGCCTCCCAACTTCACCTTCTTCCTCAGATGTTCGAAGCCGGGTTTTGCAGGCTGCTGCGAAGCATGAATCTCAACCGTCTGATGAAACTTCTGAAGGTCTCCAAGATGCATCAACGTCATCTCCAGAAGAAGCTTTGGACAACGTTGATCTCTCAGAAGCGTAAAAGGCTCCAACTTTTATTTCATTGTTTCTTGTAACTGCCAACAATTACTTTGCTCGTGCCTTGGAACCGTTCATGTTCATAATTGTTTGACGCAAACTACAAGTGGGAATACCTTTTCGTTCTGAATGATGCTGAGATAGTTTTTGACAATTTTGGAACTGTAGTTGGATCAAGAGCTAGATAATAAGATCAAAGTTACTGGTTAAAACTTAAAAGTCAAATCTAAATACAGTATTTAAGTTTATATGAGTAAAAAAATTTAAAAACTTCCTTAAAAAATATTGAAATTCTCCCTAAATACAAATTTTTAAGTTTACAATGAGTTAAAAACTAAAAAGTTACAAACATCCATATTTACACTGTGACTTACCATTTTTTAAAAGAGTTTTCTCTTTATAGTATTTTTTGAAAAAAAAAAATTCAAAAACTGGTATTTTTCACAAGTTTATTTATATATTATTATATGAGTTGTAGTTTATCAGCTATTTAACATAAAATCCATGTGGAAAGCTGATAGCCAAAGTAAAGTTAAGCATTGTATAAAGAAAAAAAAATGAATTTGACAATAACGTTTCCATAAATTTAAAATTTACTAAAAATATCAAAACTTACCAAACTCATACCTTTTTGTCTTTATTTAGCTAAAAAGGTTAAAACATCCCAACCAATATAATACAATGCTTTTGAAAATTTTGTTCTTGATAGTATTTCCAAAAGAAAAGTTTTGAAATAGTATATTTATTTATTTTAATACATACGTATTGTTAATCGTATGAGTAATTTTATATTAATAATTAAATAAAAACAAAATTCATATGAAGGTATCTAATGGAAAATTTTTTATTTTTTTAGTATTATAAAAAAAACTGAATTGCTAGAAACATTTTTATAAATTAAAAACTTACTTAAAATTATTAAAATTTACCAATATTCATATTTTTGAAGCCATTTTTTACATAATTTAAAAACCGAATATTTATTTATTTTGACACGTACGTATTATATTTAATACGCATAACTGTTTATTAACAAATAAGCACAAAATCCATGTGAATGTATCTAATGGAAATAAGTAAATATAACATTATAAGGAAAATATGAATTGCCAGCTACATTTTATAAATAAAAGCTTTCTTAAAAATATACCAAAAAAAAATTCATGTTTGTGAGTCTTTGGGATGAACTAAAACGTTAGACAATCATACTTGCAGAGTCACTATATATATGTTTCAAGCTCTCACAGTACTTACCCAACCAAGTAAAACCAAACAAATACTATCTCTTTCTGTTAACTGAATGGTTTTGTAGGAGTAACAAAAACTCACCACCCAAACTGTAAGAATATATTTGAGCAGCCATGGAGCCAGTTAAAGATGCTGAGACGACGGTGGAAACTCAGGATGGAGCTGCTGCCGACGTTTTGCTGTCACCTGAAATGGGCGCGCTTGAGCATGTTTCTTCGAATCCAAGTCATGGCGGCAGATATATGCAATACAACTTATCTGGCCATATCTTCGAAGTCCCCGCAAAGTATAAGCCACCGATCATGGCTCTTGGCAATGGTTCTTATGGCTTCGTTTGGTAAATTCCTTTTACCTTTTCCTTTATGAGAAATTTCCGAACTTTTTTTTTCTTAACGTAATAGTTTGATGAACATTGCGAATATTAAAAAATAGTGGAAAACTGATAAGCCAATCTTTTACATTTTGGTTACAGTTCGGCTCTGAACACGGAGACGAATGAGAAAGTAGCAATAAAGAAAATCGCGAATGCACTTGAAAACGAAATCGCGGCAAAGAGAACTCTCCGTGAAATCAGGATTCTTCGTCACTTAAAACATGAAAATGTCTGTTTGATTTCAATCGCTATATACTCTATACCTTTTTTATATGTTATATATATATATATTTTTAAAATGCTAATATTTAAGTAAAATACCATTTTTCCATATAGATTATTGGCATCAAAGACGTAATGTTGCCTCCTAAGAGAGATGCATTTAAAGATGTTTACATTGCATATGAGTTGATGGACACTGACCTTTATAAAGTGAGTCGCCGTCAACCAGAACTCGAAGAAGTTCATTTCCAGGTCTGAGTTTTGAAAATGTTTGTTTCTTGCAAGAAAAAAAAAAACTTAAAACCATTTTGTCTAGAGAGCTTGATGAAAGTGTTCAATCTCCCCTTTTTTTTTCTTCTCTCGCAGTGTTTCTTGTACCAAATCCTGCGCGGACTCAAGTACATGCACTCGGCCAATGTGATACACAGAGATTTAAAACCGAACAACATCCTCGTGAACTACAACTTGGGCTTAAAGATCTGCGACTTCGGGCTTGCTCGTGGCACTTCAGAGAATAATGTGATGAGCCCGTGTGTTTGCGCAAGATGGTACTGTGCACCTGAGCTTCTGTTTAACTCTTGTGATTATACCACAGCTATAGATATTTGGTCTGTTGGCTGTGTTTTCTATGAAATGGTGACCCGTGAACCGCTCTTCCCCGGTAAAGATCAGATTCATATGCTTCGTCTACAAATGGAGGTAATAAAAAAAAGTCAAACCCTTTTTCTTTTGTGTCGCATGGAACATATATACCTTTTTGGTGATCTCTCTTGGCTTTGTTTTGCAGGCCATAGGCTCTCCATCAGAAGATGATCTTCGATCGTTTAATGAAAATGCTAAGCGATACTTCAGGGAGGTTCCTTTCATTCCAAGCCGATATTTGGGTGCGAACATCGGCAATGCGCCCTTTACAGCTATTGACTTGATGGAGAAGATGCTAAAATTTGACCCTAGAAAGAGGATCTCAGGTTAGTTTCTGTCTCTTTAGCCTCCTTTTGAAGTTCTGTTCGGACTCTTGCTTGTCTCCATACCTTTTATTCTTCTCTTTGCAGCTGAAGAAGCGCTTGCTCATCGATATTTCGACTCGATGTACAAACCTAACCATGAACCAGTGTTCGCGAAGCCCTTCACCTTCGATTTAGAGGAACGTCCATACACTGTGGAGCAGGTGAAGGAGCTAATCTACTGTGAAGGCCTCGCTTTCAACCCTGAACCAGCAGTAACTGAAAACGAACATTGACTCTGGCTTCAAAGTCATCATCCATGGGTCTTGTAACTTTAGATGGGTCATCTTTGATTCTTCTATTGTCTGTTTTCTTTTTCTTCTTCTGTTTTTCTGCATAATGTCTTTTATGTTTCCTTCAGTTTTCTGTTGAGGCTTTGAGAGCCTTACACTGAGAATCTCTCAGACCATTGTACTAACATTTTCTGCGAGATTCCCCAATATATCCTTTTGATATTGTCAAATGTATCATTTTAAAGCTTATGTGGGCATCATTGCAATTTTCAATCCAACAAATAATAATACAAGAGATGCTGTCAAAACTATAACATTGCAACAAGGAAGAAAACAATCATATCCTAATTTGAGAATTTTGATTGAGGACACAATCTTACTCGTGCAATGGTTCTTTTGCATGTTTGTTTATTACGATGTCAGCTCTTCAGATTGCCAAAGAATCTAGAGAGTGGTACAGGGCCATCAGTTTCGTCTTTACTTTTGCTAGAGTGTTTCTCTCTGCTGGACTTGTGCTTCTTCTCCTTCTTCGATCTTTTAGAACTTGATCTTGACCTTCTAGATTCGTCTTCATCGCTACTAGATGACGACTCTGAGGACGAATAATGCTGCAGATTCAAAACACAATCCAACATGGAGAATGTAAACAGAAGCTATAAAACATGACAACACCATCCGGAGTAAGTTCATTCTCAATTGTCTAAAAACTATAAGCACCTTTCTCTTTTTGCTTTTCTTCTTCTTTGAATCTCTGTCTTTCTTATCTGTGAGGCCATTGGAGAGCAGTTTAATAACTTCCCTCAGAAAGAAGCTTCAGATTGATCATATTACCTTTTCGGGACTTATCACTAGAATAGTTCCTTCCTTTGGAGAGTTTCGAGGACCTTTCTGCATCCAGCTGAGCTCTATACTCACGCATCAGTTTATCCGTATCTGCTTCAAGTTCTCCCTTCTTCATTTCTTCTTCCTAAACATGTCATGTAAACAAAGACACAACTTTTAAAAATTCTCTAATGTTCCATAATCACAAAACTGATATTGTAGATAATGAAAAGCAACAAAGATATGAAACATTAGTTACAATGGAAAAGTCTTAAAAAAGGAGAAAAAGAGAACCTTTTGCTTCTTCTTATATTCTTCCCATGTGATGGTGTGTGTAGTCTTGAGACTAGCCAAACGAGCCGCATGCCACTCTGGTGTATGAAATGAACCATCCACCTGCGACACTCCTCATCAGAAATGTTCCCCGCAACGATACAATAAACAGATTGCAACAACAATCAGAGAGACTCTTGAAATCGCTGAGAAACAGAGTTCGATGCTACACTCTAAGAAATCACATCTCAAATTTTTAATTTTTTCCTCAAAACATTGAACACATTATACTGAAAAAAGCTTCGATTACAAGTTCTTCCACCTAAAAATTGGGACTCTTAAAGGGGCAATCGTAATTCTAACAAGTGAAATTCCGCAGCTCAATCACCCATTAACCACAAAGATCAAATTAAGCAATCAAATGAAATTGGGTTTCTTGAGACGTAATCATCATCAGTTGCAATTGAGAAAAATAGTATGAAAGGGTACAAACCATTCCGTCTTCAACCTCCTCCGGCTGCGCCGAGCTGGAGCCGACCCTAGATCTCTGCATAGCCTTGTAAGCTTGATTCTTCCCCATAGCTCTGACAAAATCAAAGATTTACACAGAAGAAAAAGTCCCCAGAAATTTTCTTTCAGGAGAAACGCAAGTAGAGGTTGAGGATGAAGAAGCTGTGGGGATTTCTGTTGTCGAATCTAGGGTTTGGGATCAACGGTACAAAGGAGAGAATTTAGGGATCTGTAGAGAAAGCTAGCTCCAGAGAGAGAGAGAGAGAGAGAACTATTGTGAGGCCGAAACCGTAACGCACTGGAGATTTTAATTCGCTCCAATTAAAAGTTTGATATAAAATGTATAAATATTCAATTTTTAATTTAAAAGCTCGAATTATCGAATGCTACTATATAGTTTCGGAAATAATAAAAACCCCTTAGGTTATTTCTCTCGCTCTCTCTCTGTTGCTTTGTCTTTCTGAAAGTCGAACAGAGGTCTCCGTCCACTCGAGTAGGTCAGGTATGGATTTCTTCTTCCTCCCTTTGAATCCGTCTAAAAGTTTCAATTTTTCTTTACTCTTTCAATCGATTCTCTTCCATTTGGGTCGAAAGTTTAGGGATTTTTAGGGTTCGGAGTCTTTCTGAGCTACGATTTTACTCTTCCTTGACTTTGTTCGAATTCGAGTGGGTTTATGGATTTTTTTCTTACTCTTTTAAACGACGAATCTTCATCGGAGTTCCTAAAAGCGTTTTGTCTTCCGGTATTCGCCTTTGTAGATGATTTCAGAGCGACCCAACTGAGTTTTAGATCTCAGTTGTTAATTGCAGATACATATCGTGCATAGAAGATCAATAAGATGAGTGGGAGTGGAGAGAAAGTTCCTGGAACGACAAAGACACCTGCTGATTTCCTCAAATCGATCCGTGGGAGACCTGTTGTTGTGAAGCTTAATTCTGGTGTTGATTATAGAGGTGGGTCTCTCCTTCTGTCTCTGTATACTTCGTCTTCTTTGTATACTTTATGTGTGTTTATGTGGCTATATATAGCTTTGGTTTTGTAGTTGATGGTTTAGTTTTTTGCAATTTTGTTTATCTATCTCTGCTGCACTTTAATGTTAGAAGCTTTGACTCAGGACTGGTTCCTTTGCCCATGTTAGTAATAGCAACCAAAGAGTTGTCTTTTAAGATTACTATAGTAATAGTAGTAACTCATTTATCATTCGTTTGAAGCTATACCGAATCTTTGTTCTTACATTTTCTTAAGAACATAACCAATAGTTTTGCTGACAACGTTGTCCCAGTGGATTTTTAGAGAGGGATATAGCTATAAGAAGTTAGAGAGAGTTGGACTTTTTTGTTTAACTACTACTGTTAGATCACAGTAACGAATTTGGCTGATTGTATCAAACCTCCTTTCTGATTCTCATTCTAATTTCTCGTTTTATCGATGTCCCTCTGAATAGTGATTGGTGCTTTTGTATTGAAAAAGTCATCCCAACAGCCTGCAATGAGTGTTCAATAGTTGACGAGGACAAATTGTTTAGCTTGGGTTTTCAAATCTCTGCTTTGTGGTTTCATGATCAAGGCTAAAGGCCATGTAACAGAACACTTGGACCTAGACTAGCATACATGAGAAACTACTTATGTCGTTTTTTGCTAGGCTCGGTTCTCTTATTGCCCTCATCAGTTTTGTCTAGGTCTGGTCAAACTTAATAATGAGTCGTTGTGTTCTTTTACACAGGCATTCTTGCTTGTCTTGATGGGTATATGAACATAGCAATGGAGCAGACGGAAGAGTATGTAAACGGGCAGCTCAAGAACAAGTACGGTGACGCCTTTATCCGTGGAAACAACGGTAGCAAATATCTCTTTACATTCTTCTCTCAATACTTTATCCTCCTTAATTGGTGTATGTATATAAATTTATATGTTTTCTTTTGGGGCAGTTCTTTACATCAGCACAGTGAAGAGAACCTTGGCGGATGGAGCCTAGACCATCATCAATGGTCATCTTGTGTGGATTTTATCTTCTTTGACATCTTTTTATAAGAGCTCTTGCACTTGATTTTCCTGGTCAAATGTTTGTTTTCCTTCAATGAATTTTTGTGATAACCATGGTAATAGCAGACATCATTAAGTTTGAGGATCCGGCATTTAAAGTAAGCAGCTTGTAAGGCTGATTAGTGTGATTAAACCTCTTAGTCGAACAGAAACAATAATTCTACTGTTGTGGACCAAAATCAATTATGAGATTAGTTAACAAATCCTACTGATGTACATGCTTTATCTTAAAACACTTCGCAAGCCTTCTTCACATAGGAATTGGAAAACTTATTTAAAAATATCTGATAATTTTTTTTTATTGAAAACTATAAACATGGATATTAATCTAATGAAAATTTCAACGTTTAAACAACTCCCACCCAAATCTGAAAATATCAAATAAAAATACTACTACTGTGTATATATATAAGGGGAAGTATGGCCGTTCTAAAGTCAAACCCTTGCACTTATTTATTCTCAATCAAACCCATCTCTCTCTCTATCTCTCTTCTGAAAAAAACATGGTAAAACTTTCTACTGCCTTTGTTGGATTCTTCTTCTCGTACAAATATCAGATTCCGTTTCTTGAGCTAGGGTTTTGTTGTCAAAAAAAGCTAGGGTTTTCCCACATCCCATGAGATAATTGCTTAAAAATCCACATGTTGTTGGGTGCATACTTTACACATTCTGCAATATAATTTCAGAATAATTGGTGAAACTGAAATATTCAATGAAGAAATTTCACACATACCAAAGTAAAAGCAATTCAAACAGTAACCTACAAGTCGTACACATCGGTTAATTACATTAAAACGTTATTCTGACTCACTGAAACCAAATTCCTATATTTTATACTCTCACATGCAGTTTTTAGTTCTTTTTTTTTTTTTGCTTTCTGAATTCGTTGTGGATGCATCAGGCTTTACGTAACCAGCAAACAACCGAATATCCTGCCTTTAAACTTGTCATTATTGGTGATGGAGGCACAGGTACCGTATATAGTTTTTTTTTTTTTTTTGGTGTCTAGGAGTGTGGTGGGATTTAATGTTCCTTGTGAATTTCTTTTAATGTTTCCAACAAAATAATATTGACTTTCGGCTTCGAAAAAATCCTGATGTTGGAAGGGGCTGATCTTCTGATGGTTGATTTTGCAGGAAAAACCACTTTGATCAAGAGACATCTAACCGGTGAATTTGAGAAGAAGTATGAACGTAAGTATTTATGAATGCAAGAAACAATGGCTATTTGTCAGATTCTGATGCCTGATGTATTTATGACTTTGGATGTTGTAGCTACTAATAGAGTGAAGGTTTATCCTTTGGATTTCTACACCAACTTTGGCAAGATCTGCTTCGACTGTTGGGGAAGAAATATCTGACTGTATAAGTTTTGGATACTTGTAAGTTAATTACCTTCTTTTTTTTTCATAATCCCTGGACGATGCTATAACCTGAGCACTTCTCTCATAATCCCTTTATGATTTAGCTAATAACAACCTTATTTGTTGTCTCGCAGCGTCCGTAGTCACTGTGCGATCATTATGTTTGATGTTACATCACGGCTCACATACAAACACGTTTCGACATGGCACACTGAACTCTGCTGGTATATATTTAATTTGTTTCTCTCTCGCATATATCTGTATTAATTTGCCTTGAACAAGCTAGAGAAGTCAAAATTGTCATGCAATAATTTGGTAATAACAGGATTCGTCCAGACATCCCCATTGTTCTGTGCGGGAACAAAGTTGATGCAAGGGATCGGCAAGTGACAGCGAGAGAGATTACGTTCCGGAGAAGGAACAATATGCATTACTATGAGATATCTGCAAAGAGCAACTACAATCTTGAGAAGCCATTCTTGTATTTTGCGAGAAGACTTCTTGGAGAACCAAACCTTCACTTTGTGGAATCACCAGCTCCTCTTCCACCACAAGTGCACATTGACACTGCTGCTCATGATAAGTAAGCTTTGAGAATACGTACTCTTAATTAATATAAAAGCTAGCTATATTTTGATAAATGAATATTTTTATATATTTTGCTCTCTTGATTAATCTTTTTTTTTTTGTTTATATTTGTAGGAACGAGGCTGAGCTCGCAGTGGCTGCAAGTCAGCCACTCCCCGATGATGATGACGCCGCCTTTGAGTAAATCTTTTCAAATTGTTTATTTACTATATTATACCATTGCTCAAAACGAATTTAATAATTATTGGATTTTATTATATTTTAATTTTGCATAAAAGGCTTGACCTCGGTTTACACGATTTTCCTTCATAAAATATCAAATGTTCCAATTAAAAAAAAAAGCATCTACATTGGTGAACGATTCTCATACGAGAGACTTTCTCTTTCCTCTCTCCTCTTTTTTCTAAATTTATTAATATTATATTATGAGAGACTAAGAGACTGCGAATGCTGATGGTCTAAGACAACCATAGTTTGTTTTTGTTTTAATGTCTTTTCACATAAGTAGCAAAAGTTATAAGTCAATGTTTGACTCTTCTATTATCTAACTGCCAATGTCTAAGCAGCAAAACCTGAAACAGACTTTCTCTCGAAAAAAAAGCTAATCCTTTTAATTTGATTCTTCTTCTGTTGCCTGTTCTTCCGGCTTACTTCCCAACCTCCCTAACCTTACAATGTCTTCCACCATAATTCTTCCCTCTGTTGAAAAATCAAAACATAACCAAAAAAAACAGAGATTAACTAAAAGATCCAACTTCAGACAAGAGACAAGAGCTTTCAAGAAAGGAGATCCATCACTCTCTTCTTTACCTTTATCTTTTGAGAGACTACTGATTAGCTGTTGAAGGCCTTCATTAGCAAGTGTGTCCTTCAGGTACATCGCAGCAGCTGCAACTTCATCAGGTGTGACCTTTCCATCTCGATCCCTATGTGCATTCACAAGTGACAACGTCTCAGAATCTTACTCTCATAAACAAAACAAAAACAAAAACAAAAAAGTGTTAATGTATACCTGTCAAGAAGCTGCCAGCCTTTGCCGATTTTGATATCCACATCATCAATCTCCTTCTCGAGGTTTTGTATCAGACCATCAACCTTTAAAAGTATTCCACAAGAGTTAGCTCTGCTACAAATCTCATTGGGACTTTTATGTTCTTCGAAAACGATTTTATGTTATTTTACCTTTTCCATTAGCGCAGAGGAAACCTCGTCTGCTTCAGCAACATCATCACCTTGGTCACTATCTACTCTAGCTGCTTTGTATGCCTTCATTGCAGCTTTCTCACCATCTATATCTTCTCTCTCGACCATTGTGTTATAGAACTCCATCTGAAGAATAAGAAACACTATAACTTTCAATCTAGGACGCAAAATGCTAAAGTCAAGCAAACTACTTATTGCTTTTGTGGACGGAGGACACTCTACCTCTTTCTTGACCAATCTCAGGAATTCTTCGCGCTCTCTACACACCGACTGTTTATATCAAAAACAAACAGGGTCTCAAATAGGCTATGGATATAATTGCTCAGCATATTCAATGTTGAAAACCATAGACTCATTTTTCTTACCGAAGCGGAAGCTAAAACGCCCAGTGCACGGCTAAGTTTGCAAAGATCATCTTGCTGTTCAAGAACTCTAGCTCTGGCCTGCTCTTGTGCTTCTCTGGCCGTTGGTATGGTCATCTCTTGCAGCGCCTTATCCTCTTCACCTCCTTTAACATCCTTAATCCTTGTAAGCTCTTCTTCTTCTTTCTCTTCTTCTTCCTATATCAATGTACAAAATGTAAAATGAGAAACATAAAAAAGTTGAGTTCTCTAACTTCTTCAATGCAATCAATCGCTTATGATCAGACCTTGATCAGTTCTTCTTGCATCTCAAGGTACTCTAATTTCCTTCTTCGCTCAGAAACAGGGTCTTCAGATGGCAGAGAAGTAATAACAACAGTATCCACAACCTCGTCGGGAAGAGAAGAAAGAGTAGCTAGAACAGCATCCTCTGCTTTAACTCTTCCAGCAACCGTGAATGCCCTGTAAACTGCTATCAGAAATTTATTCGCAACAAAACCAATGAAAGAACGAAATAATGAGAAAATAGAGTTCTGGATCCTACCTAGAAAGGATCAATAACGACGAGGGGACAGAATGATTAAGTGACAAGTCCATCCAATCGCGAAGCTGCAAGATTGTTTCGATACTAAAATATTAACAACTGTGACACTATCTTTTCTCGATGGAGTTTGATAAATAAAGAAAGAACAAAGAAATAAGAATCACAGGAGTGAGAAGGAGAAACCTGTTGCCTCATCTCTTCAACTGAAACCACCCCCAGCATTCCCCGTTCCCTGCAATCTTCGCGTAGCTCAGCCTCTGAAAGGGAATCCACGCCCTCAGCTCTAATCAGTTTATCATCTTCCTTTATGCTGCAGTGAAAAGGAGTAAAAATTAATCATCAAAGCAAGGTAACAAGTCTAATAACAACGCGAGAAGTGGAAGCCTCTTACCTCCTCAGTCTTTTTCTGAGCATATATCGCAGATAAGCATCTGTTCCAAATGGGCTAATACCCATATACTTGCACATGCTAACCAAGCGAGGCCTATTAATGAAAACAAAGAGGTAATTACTGTCAGAACATGTACCTCTTTACGAGCACAACACATCTCTGAGATTCGAAAATAAAAAAAGGAGCAACAAACCTGCTAATGTTATCCAAAGTAAGCTCATCGTTGAAAAGCTTTGCAAATCCCAAAAGTTCATCATTTTGGACTATTTGACCTTTTCGAACCTGCAAGGCAAGATTTTGAGAACGGAGAAAACTAACTTCAAATTAGAAACCGAAAGAAAGCAAAGTATCTGAGCCAACAAAAATCCATGACTTACCTTGTCCAGAAAATCATCCAGATTTTCAGCGGTTTTCTTTACTTCTCCAGTTCTTGAATGTTTAACTTCCCTAGCCATCTCTTTGGCGGTTTCCTGAAGAAACTTAGCGTATTCTATCCTTGCAAGTAATTTCCTTTTCAATGCTTCCTGTACATTAACAAAAGAGCAACATGGAAAAAGAGACCCCGGAGGCAAGAAAGTAAAAAACGAACGTGAATAGACTACACTCCGTTGAAACATACCTCTTCTTTCATCTTGTCCTGGAAAGTTGACGGTAACATATTAGGGAAGAGCTTCAAGAAAACTGGCAGCAGAAACTCCATAAACGGCACAAGGATGAACACTGCAAATGGCACTAATCTAAAGATATCAGCTGTTGTTCGAGTAAGCTGTTGCCTTTCTCTTCTCGAGAGACTCTTTCCACCAGCCAGCTTGAGCAGCAATCTTGAACTGATTCTAGTGTCTGCCCAGAGTAGCTTCGTCCCCAGCCAATAATGTTTCAGTGTTGATACAAACTCGTGTTTCCAGTGAGTGAGCTTCACTGCCCAATCCGCCCTGTAGAAAACAGAAATTCAGTACACTATATAATAACTATGCATAAGCCAGGAGATTAAGCAGGCACAATGTCAGATGAAAGCTAAAAACCTGCTCATCGAGGCAACGGCTCTTAAAGCAGGACCTATCCCAAGAACAAAGGCCCACGTCCTCTGCACTATCGATCGAGCAACCTTTTTGGAATCTTGAAGACGTTTAGCTTTCGCCTGTGCTTTTAAACTGCTCAGACTTTCAACAGCTTGATCACACTCCTCAGGAGATGCCTCTTTCCTACTTTTAGCAACCCCATCATCTTTCTTATCCTCTTCATCCGGTTTCTTAGCTGCAGCTGTAGTAGCATTACGAACGGACATGCTCATGAATCTCATCCCCAGAGAAGGAAACATTTCCGAACTTCCAAAACCGGTGCCGGAGAAGTCAGAACCATGGAATCTACGATCGAAGTATCCGTTTCTAGAAGGCAATAGAAGACCATATCTTCCTGAAAAGGACTTGTGTTCGGCTACACGGTGAGATTCCACGGGAGGATGGTTGATGAGAGAGTGATAAGCATGTGAATCAACCGCCTGAGCGGAATTTCCAATGGACTGAAAGCTCTGGGCTGAACGAGCATAGACACTCAGGTAATCCGAAATGATACTCTTCCTCCTAATGATCGCTCTTGACGCCATTTCCTTAATATCACTGTTGTCGAAAGAGGAATCACCTGGACATCTCCCAGAAGAGAAGAGTCCTCAATCTGATATTCGGAAGAGGGAAAATCGCTAGATCAAAATCTACGAGATGGCATAAATAAGGGAAACTGGAACTGAGAAACATCGGCGAACCCTAAATATCAGAAACGATGAAAACCCAGACGATCGATCAATCGAAATCGATAGGAGAAGAAGCACAATGTTTAACAGGAAGAAGAAAAAACAAACATCTCAAGTGATGATTATCGCATAGCAAGTTGAAAATGAAAACGTATGAAAAAACCTTGATATGAGGATATGAACAAAAAGTATCACTTACAGATTACCAGAATTCCAGGTCAGAGGGAGAAATCTGAAGATGAAGAACTCTTTTTACCGGCGAAAGTGACCAAGAAAACTCGCCGGAGAAATTTGAGAGGTTTTAGGGATGCGGCAAATAAATCGTGAGAAAGGGTTTTAAGAATCTTTTTATTTCTTTTTCTCTCTTTTGAAGACAAAAAGAAATAAAGATATTTACTTAGACCTGTACGAGTGCTCTACGCCGTTGGATCATATATGGGTCCCATGTCTATCCCGTCATAACCACGTGGACGAATCCACATCAGATGTAATACTTGAACCCCAAGGGCCGAGACCCATGAGATAGATTTTTTTTTTTCATAATCATTTTGGTTATGTATTGATAATTAACTTACTAAAATAAAGCTCTTACTTCTTCAAATTGATCAACACAACAATAACACTAAAGTCTCTCCATAGCTTGACACCTCAGCTTTTTTAAGCTTTATAAACATGACACTTCAGCAAAAATAATCATCAATCAAAATATTTTATTAATACATCTTATCTACTTATTTTAATTTTTAAACTAAACCCATTAAAAACTCAAATATTTTTTCTATTAATTTTTGTTTTATTTTTTACCAAACTCAAACCCAAATAATTAATAATTTTATTTTTTGCCAAATCTAAACTCAAATAATAAATAAAAACAAATAAAAAGTTAAATTATTGTTTTTTTGTCAAAATCAAATCTAAATAATAAATAACAATAAATAAATAATAAAAAGAATTCTAGCTATCAGTTTGTTTGACATAGACGTATATGACTGAAAAAGTGTAGGCTCAGCATCAACTATGCTTCCATGACAACAACACAAAAATCCTTATGTTATAAGAAGCTCACACATCAGCAAAAATTTGAACCGATAAAAACATAACAATTTTTTAGTTTTCGCGGGAAAACACAATTTCACGGGAGATAAAGCAATTTTTGGTTTTCGCAGGAAATTGTAGTTTATTTGTTTTTGTAGGAAAGCGTGATTCTGGGCTTGACGAGAAGTTTTTGTTTTCGCGGGAATTTTTTGGTTTTGGTGGGAATAGCCGATTTCTCAGTTTAAAGGGAAAATGAAATTTTTTTTGTTTTGATGGGAAATGCGATTTCTCGATTTTTGTAAGAAGATGAAATTTCTCTGTGCTAAATTTCCAAGTTAAAGTATGTTTACAGTAACCAAAATTTAATTATTTAACTTTAACTAAAACTATATTTTAAGAGTTCAAACATAATTTTTTATTTAGTTCTAAAGCAATAGCAATGGTTTTGATATGAATGTTATTGATTATAGTTTGGTAATTTTAGAAACATATATTTATAATAAAATATTTATAAATAAATAAATTTTATAATTCAAAATAATCATATTAATTAATAAATCTTTTTTTAAATGACATTTTGCTTTATATAATTACAAAGAAGGATCATGTGGCAATTGATTGGAGAAAATATATTACATTTGCCATTAGCATAAAGGTACAAAAATGTATTGCTTTATTTTTATATATTTTTATTTCTAATATATATTTATAATTAGTTAGCTAACTAAATTTAATAGTAAATTATAGTTTTGAAAAAAATATATATATATATAATGTTTATATAGATTTAAAACATATAAATACATAACTTAAGCTAATAAAAAAAATATATAAAATTTATTTATATTATAAAAATAATTTTATTATATTAAAAATATATACAAAATTTAAAAAATATCCTGGAACATAGAGCAGATAAATACATAGTTATTAATAATAAAAATAACTGATTTAGAATTTAGAATTTCAAATTGAATATGAACAAATGATTAGTCATTAAAATAATACTTACAAAATAACCCAAAAACTTATGATATGAAACAAACAAACAAACATGAAAAAAGTATTAAAAACAGATTAGTGATAATTCTGTTTTTACAGAGCGAGTGAATTCATCATGAATCTGCGTGATTCTTGAAATTCTCACCCTCATCTTGCTTTTTTTTGTTTCCATCTCCGGGTTTTCCAGATTCAGGGTTGCTTGATTCAGTAGTTCCCTTTTATTTCCTACAGCAACAAAAAAATAAAGAACATGATAAACATAAAAGTTTGCTTTAAACTATAGGATTATTCGGATTAAAGAAGATGAAATTTTGTTTTTACCAGGGAAACTTGAATGTGTCTTTCCACCAACCCTGCTTAGAACAGCTTGCAACTATTTTGTCGAGCCGAATAATAATCTCAGAGAATATTGGCCTCATACTGATTTCAGGATGCCAACATTCTTCAATCAACCTACAGATAATCCCCGATTCTTGAGTTGTTCATGTTTAAAAACATCCCTAAAATGTAATGATGAAGCTTTAGAACCAAATCTTGAAGAGCTTACTCTTTCAATTCTGGAGGGTAACTCTTGGATTTCGTCTTGATTATTGGTCTCTTTCCATCTACACATATCGATTCTGCAACCTCTTCAGGTGGTTTAGGATGAAAAATGGATACTCCCTCAGTCATCTTCACATATAAAACCGAAAACAAGTACACAGAGTTTGAGGTTTCAGAAATTTAACAATCAAGAAGGCGAAAGCTTTGTGTGTTAGTACCTCATACAAAATGACACCAAACGAATGCACATCGACCCTTTTATCGAAGGTTTCATCTTTGTAAATCTCAGGTGCTATATAGTAGTCTGCAATTCAAAAGGTAAGCACAAGATCATTCAAGAACAATGCTTGTTGTGTATATGAATCCTTTTTCTCTTACTTGACTTATCGATATGAGCTTGGTTCACTACTCTTGCATTATCTTCTGAAGTCTTGGACAACTTTAACAAACCAAATCCAGAGATCTTGAGTTGTCCTCCTCTATCCAGCAAAATATTTCTGGCACCTTACAAAAAACTTTCAAAATATTATCCAAACTGTTTCATTTCGCCGTTATCTAATTTGCTCTCGGCTTTGTCTTACTTTGGCCTTAAGTCGCAATGGATGATCGGGTCTGGTTTACATTCATGAAGATAGTTTAGTCCCCTGGCAATATCAAGAGCAAATCTCAGAGCCTTTGAAGGAGAAAGACGACCTTTCTTTTGAAGATACACACTTAGATCACCCTGAAATTAAGATGATTACATGATTGCTCCATCTGTAATACGATGTACAAGAGGAGATGCAGTAAAAAAAAATGCTTACTTTTGGATTACACTCAACTACAATCATCATCGGTAGATTTTGAGTGACAGCTCCAACAAATTGAACAATGTTCGGATGCCTAGCTTTAGCTAGCAAAGTTAACTCATGTGTGAAGGCATTTCTGCACGTATAGTATAAAAAAGAACCAGAAATAGAAACAAACAGTGTTAGATTATTTCATGGTATCAACAACTCAGACAGAGAAATTCAAGAACAAGAAGAATGCATACACGCGTTCCGGATCTGAATAACTATCTTTGTCGAATATTTTTACCGAGACTCTCGTGCCATTCCATTTAGCAACTTGATAAGTTCCCTACACAGATTAAGGATCATAATAAGAGATTTAGGGGGGAAAACAATCTCAGTTCTTGTGAAATTTAGGAGAAGGAACAACCTTTGAGATGCCATCAACTTTTCGGACTTGAAGTTCAAGTGGATTAAGCTCATACTCAGGAACTTCTTTTGGATTCCCCACCGTCATTGGAGTCTTTCTGGTTTTCTAAAGTTTGCCACAAACAAATGTTGAAGATGAAGCCAATCACCAAAGAGAGAGAGAGACCAAAGTAATCTTAAGAAGATGAAAAGAGAAATCCTTTTCTGTTAACTACCATACCGGAGCTTTAGCTCCTCGAGCTTTCAAGAGATTATACACTTCAACATTCCCATAATACTTGGCATCAACAGCCGCCTGCATAGTAATTAAAACCGAGTAACAAAATGTCGTCAAAACCGAACCGAAAACCAGATTTGACAATCGAATTTGATTGATTCATGAAAAAAGGGGAAGAAGAAGAAGAAGAACAGACCGTACTACCCCAACGATCACGGGCATCGATGTTAGCTCTGCGGCTAAGAAGAACCTTAACGACGTCGTAATGACCTTCACAGGACGCGATGTGAAGAGCCGTACGGCCATCGAGATCAATGCTGTTCACATCGATCCCTTCGTTGAGTAGCTCCTCGACGCCATTGACGTCGCCTTTGCTGGCCATGAAGAGAAGCTGCATCGTGGAATCGAGATTCTCCGGCACAGCCATCTGCGGCTCGCAGCTAAGGGATTCCGGGCTTCGTCTGATCGGATCGAGCGAAGATTGACGGCCGAAGCTGAACCTCATGTTGTTACGGCGTGGGTCGAGAGAGGACTGGCGTGTGAATTGTCGGCTTAATGTTCGTCGCATTGATCCTGTGGAGAATTGTCTCGATATCCCACGCTTCAATTGCGCCGCTACGTTCTCCATGACTATAATAATGACTCTGATCGATCAACGATCAAAACCACTTTGCCATCTTCGGGGAACTCGTCAATTGAGATGAAGAAGAAGACGAGGAAGAGGCGAACAAAAGAAAATTGAAAGAAGAGGAACCATCGTGGTGCATTTTTTCCAAACTTTTTTTTAAATCTTTTTTTTTAATTACTCTTCGTTTATGGGATTAACCAGATCGACAAACAATAGTTTCGTTGGCTCACAATGTCGTTTGCAGCAGTAAAACACGGCTAATCACATAATTTCCTATTTTTAATCTCTTTATTCATTGGTTCGAATACATGATTAAAAAAAAGGAATTAACATGGAATCCTAAAATGATTTGCGTTGATTGTTTATAGATACACTAGTCTTCAAAAGACTACTCAAAACTGACGGAGAGTCTTTTCAGCCAGCGGGGAGAATCTCCCAGCAGCAAGGTTCGAGATCGTCGGAAACTGGGCTATATCGTCGGAATCCTTCCCATTGGATAGATTCTTTTTTTTTATAGTCATCTTGGTTTTGTATTGATAAACTTAGATAATTTTAAAGCTCTTACTTCTTCACTCAAGTGGATTAGTCATAAAAATAACTAATGTAGAATTTAGGAGGGTTACTTTTAGATTCTTTTTTTTCATAGTCATCTTGGTTTTGTAGTGATGCTATTGTACTTATGACGATACTTACTTTTAGTTAGAACATTCACTAAAACACCATCATCATGGATGACATAACTGATAACTTGGCAGGTAAGTTACCTTACTTATCACACTCATAGCAACACATCCCTCGTAAATGCAATGTCTTACTTGCATATTATTAGTCTTCTGATCCGAAAACACTTTCGAGTTCATAAGCTAATAATAAACATATAACAATTAATAAAATGTCTGGAGTTCCTAAACATGCTTCTAGAGACAAGAAGAAAATCTTACCACAACTCCTACCAACCTTTTAGCAACCAATAGAGAAATTTTAAAGATCCATATAAATTATTTCTCTTCCCACAATACAAACTAAGAGATAACAATTCTAGGGACGAAGGTTTCGCAAAACCATGAACCCCGCTATTAAATAAGCAATTTATGAGTTTTAATGTTACAGAGAGGAGGCTCCTGCAAGAGCAATGCGACATGAAGCAATTTAAGAGCTTAATGTTACAGAGAATAATTGTATACAGCTTAGATGAAATAATGGACTTGGGTCAGGCAATTGGGTAGAACAAGCGCCATTAGGTCCTCATGGACTTGCGATACTATGCCATCATCAACCTCAACACATTCGGGAATCTCCACTCGCACTAGTTCGATGCATTCCGATCCCACAAGAAAACTCTTCAAGTGTTGCAACTCTTGAGCAGTTCCTCGATAACCAAGAACACGCAACACCTTCACTTTGAACAGACTAATGGTCGCATCGCCTGTGTAACCATCCAGACCCTGAAGAAAGCATCAGATGCGTGTAAAGGATCAACGATAAAGAAGTCCGTGTATCTCGATATATGTAGATACATTCGTTAAAATTTTGTTTTTTGCTTATTGAAAGCAAATGTACCTGGATGATTAGAGTTTCAAGCTTTGGAGACTGGTTAAGCAGACGTGGCAGCAGTTTCCAGCCTCGCTTATTCTTACTCCCAAAAGATAAAGTAACCAGATTGTTGAACACCGGCAGGAGTAGTCCATCTTCAAGTTCAACACATCGAGAAATCACCTGAAACACACATGATTCGAGATAGTGAAAGGCTCTTTTATCAAGGAAAACAGAAAAAAAGAACAAGATTGGGAAAACTTACATCAGCAGAAGCGGGAGAAAGATGGAGGGTCTCGATGTTGGTCATCCCTGTAATGAGATCCGTTAGATCCGGCTTCTCGACGTTTGTAGTATAACGAATATCCAGCTTAGCTTCGACTAGGGACTCCAAGTTAACTTGTGGGTACTCAGCCAAGGCATAATCGGAGTAGTCCAGGGAGACAAGATTCGGGGCGTCAAATGACATACTATCCATACAACAAAGTGCAAACTCAACATCGTAGTGAACTGATAGTTTCTTGATGCTCCGACTCGATATGAAGAACGGGTGTCCTGATATCTTTACGTGACGTAAAGATAACTCCTCGAGCACTGGGCAGCCGGGAAGAAGCACACCACACAGGACTCCATAAGTAAAAAATATGGAATTGATGAAGAGACTCTTAAGCGCTGGAAGAGACACATCTCGAGGAATCTCGTCGACACCAATCTCTGTTCCCAGTGTCAGCTTAACCAGCGTCTTGCTCGTGAAGAGCTCAGAGGGCAGATAGGGTTCAAAGTTTGGGTTTAAACTTAGGTCCACTTCCAAAACACCACGCTCTACGACATTACATATCCACCTGGTCACAGACGCCATCTCGCTGCACTCGAGCATGCGATGCTTTAGAGAGAATTTCTTGATAGGACAACCGCGTTGCAAGGCGAGTGTTCTATCCACAAAATTCCTGAAGCTCTCCCGGATTTCACCCCTCTCTAGTTTACCCTCTTCCGGTTGCAGGAAGACAGAATCATCGAGATCAAGATTATTATGCACCAGTGCAAACACATTCCTCCACTTTTTCGATAGAACCGTTGTTGAAGCAGCCAGTTTGGTCGGAAGTAAGGACAAGATGTCGCACAGAACCTCTTGAGGGAGCCAGCTGATTGCATCCCTCGAACCAGTGCCTAGCTTGATGGTATCCATACCGACAGAAACAGTCTCTCCCTTAAAAAAAGTGCCTGAATACATGAAGTGAGTTCAGCTGGATCAAACCAAAATACACCAAACAAAGCAAAATTTGGAACCTTGCGAAAACTCCACATTGTCTAAATGTTACAGAGAAGCAAAAGAGAGAGCAAAGAACAGAGAAGTTCCATAAACCATAAGATCCAGTTCTCAAACGCGATGAAACTGAATTTTAACGAAGTTTCAGAGAAATTACAAGGTTACAGAAGCTAAAGGTTAAAGCTTTTCCCCATTTAACTAAATTAATGGAATATTCGAGCTAGATTAACAGCAGAAAGCCGATTAGTGGCAAAACTACTACAACAGTTTCATCGTTATCAATAATCGCAACATTACACTTTAGGGGCTTAAAGGTTAAGCCTTTATATTTCTCCGATTAAATCGAAGTTTGTATCTTTCTCGCATGTGTTATATCACTAACAATCATGTTCCACAAAGAAAGACAAGAAGAAGAAAAGAAAACTAAAGCTTTCAACCAATTTTTTTCCAATTGAACCGAAGGTTCTACCTGTAACCAAGTCTGAGGCCAAAGACGAACCGGTGGAGGACGAACAGAGAACGATGGGAGTCTCCGATTCAGGATTTTAGAGATTTCCCTTATTACCCGTCAAGAGTATATTAAATTGCTAAAGAGTTATGTCAATTAAAAAATAAATAAATAAAAAGAAGTTTTCACTTTTCTAATATATACATTTTTCATTTATGATTACTGTATTTTAAAAATCGTACTAAACCGCCAAAAGATTTATGGACAAAATTGCAAATACTTCTAAAATTAACATAAGTAACTTTATCCCGATATTTATACTTTCCAAAATAAGACAAAAAAAATTATTCTCCCTTTAATGTATAGTTTTACAATTTGGATGAAGATTTTGCCTTATTTATCACATCTATACAACAATGTCAAAAAAAAAAAAAATCATATATATACAATCAAACAGTTGAACGTCAGATGGTTTTCATATCTTAAAATCTGATAATGCTACACCCAAAAAAACTATAGGAAGCATTTTTTTTTTTTTTTGCGAAAGGGTTTACTATAGGAAGCATTATTACTGACACACTACAGATTTAACGTTTAGAATAATATCGTAAATAAACTCAATACAATCAAAAACACACTACAGATTTAACAATCCGATTATTATCTTTGCACAAACCATTGGAAATCACCTAGAATATGTTCGTATGGTATATGTCACTCTTGAGCAATCTTAAGGACTTGCTTCCCAACGTTTTGTCCATGGACGAGTCCAACAAGAGCAGCAGGACCATTCTCGAATCCTTCAACAATGTCTTCAATATATATTATCTTCCCTTCTTTAATATATGGAATCACAAACTCCATGAACTTAGGGAATCTATCGATGAAGTCCAACGTCACAAACCCTTGCATCTTGATCTTCTTGTAGATAAGGACCGGTAGATTTCGAATTCCTTCATTGGTTTCAAGATGGTACTGAGATATCATCCCGCATACAGCAATACGCCCATAAGCTTTCATGTTCATTAGTACCGAGTCAAGTATTTTGCCTCCCACGTTCTCAAAGTAAATGTCAATACCTTGTGGTAAACACCTGTAAAACAGAGCAAATGTGATTCAAGAAACAGAACTATAAGAAGCATTGTTGACTAGTGTGACTAGACCTCTTTAAGGCGGCATCAAGGTCAGGCTCTTCCTTGTAATTGAATGCATCGTCGAATCCAAATTTGTTTAGCAAGATATCGACCTTTAAGTGAACCAAAGCATTGTCAGAAAGATTTTAAGTCTTTTAATAGATAAGTTTCAGAAGAAAGGCCTAACCTTTTGCTTAGTTCCAGCACTTCCAACAACATAGCATCCCATCAACTTAGCAAATTGACCCACGAGCTGACCAACCGCACCAGCAGCCGCAGAGACAAACACCGTTTCTCCTTTCTTAGGTGAACAAATCTCGAAAAACCCCGCATAAGCAGTTAAACCTGGCATACCTGTTATATAAAAACAGAGCTTCTAAACCCATAACATTATGCTCTTGTTATAGTTTGTTGCATGGTGAAAATTAATAAGCCTAAAACTAACCGAGAATCCCAGTGTAGTAGGAGAGAGGAACATTGAGACTGACGTCGATTTTGAAAGTAAGGGTTGGGTTAATAGTACTATACTCTTCCCAGTTGACCATTCCCCAAACAAAGTCACCTTTTGCGAAAGTCGGATCATCGGAATCTATCACCTTAGACACTCCAATTCCAGATATAGGCTGAACAATCACAAAGTGTCAACAACAACATGTGTCTGTATATGTATGTATGTATGTATGAGTGATGTTTTTTTTTACCTTTCCAGGGACGAAAGCATCCATGAGTGCTAAAGTAGAAGGATTTGGTTCTCTCATGAGAATCCCCATGTAAGGATCACAAGACATGTAAAGGTTTTTCACCAGAATGGCCTTGGATCCAGCCTTAACCTTAAGTTCTACAGCGTCCGCAGCCTCGATTATCATTAGGTCAGACTCCTTTGGGAAACCCTTAACGTAATCTCTGAGTATCACTTGCTTGTTCCTCACGCTAGTCTCCATTTTCCCCTCAGTGAATGAATCCATGCTTGCTTTAGTCCAAATCTTTATACATACAGTAGTCTTCGAACCTTAACTGAGGTTGGTAAGAGGTTCATGTTTCACATTATAGCATGGACTCAATTGCATATAGGTAAAGCACGTTTGGTACGGTTATATTTAAAGTGGTGTCGGGCACTATTTAGTGATATGATGATGACTAGTAACTAATAAAACCCCACACGTTTCATGTAAACCAGTAGATAACACTAGTTGCTCCATTATGTGATTGTGATGCGACGACACTATACTCCTAGGATTCACATGGCCTGAGCCACACACACTCTCAGTTTTGAAGGAATCTTGAAAATAAGTAATAGTAGTGTAGTGGTGTTGCCATGACCTGAGTCAACACTAGCACACTACGTGATGTAATTTATTTTTTCTACTAAATTGTTATTTGATCCTTCTTTAAAATTATATAAAGCAAATTATTATTTAAAAAAATATTAATTAATATAATTATTTTAAATTATAAAATTTATTATCAAATATTTATTATAGACATATGTTTCTAAAACTACCAAACTATAATCAATAACATTCATATCAAAATCATTACTATTACTTTAGAACTAAATAGAAAGTTCTATTTGAACTTTTGAAATATCAATTTAGTTGAAGTTAAATAATTCAATTTTGGTTACTATAAACATATTATAACTTGAAAATTTAGCACAAAGAAATTTTATCTTTTTACAAAAACCGAGAAATTGTTTTTTCTGACAAAACAAAAAAAAATTATTTCCCACGAAACTGAGAAATTGCTTATTCCCGCCAAAACAAAAAAAAATCATTTTCTCGTCAAACCTGAAATTTCATTTTCCTACCAAAACAAAGAAATTGTATTTTCCCTCAAAAACCAAAAAATCACATTTTTCTGCGAGAACCTTTGTTTTCCGTCAAAACACATAAATCAAGTTTTTTTCACCAAAACCAAAAAATTTCATCTTCATGCAAAAACAAAAAATAGTATTTTTCCGTCAAAATCAAAAATTAATTTCCCGCAAAAATCGAGAAATCGTCTATTCCCACCAAAACAAGAAAAATTTATTTTTCTTGTCAAATCAACAATCACGCCTTCCTACCAAAACCGATAAACTACAATTTTTTGCAAAAACCAAAAATTGCATTATCTCCTGAGAAATTGTGTTTCCCACGAAAACTAAAAAATCATATTTTCCCACGAAAACTAAAAATCAAATTATATGTCAAAAACTAAAAATTTGCATTTTCCATCGAAACCAATAAATTGTTTATTCCCGCCAAAATCGAGAAATTTTGTTTTTCTATCAACCCGAAAAATTGTATTTTCTGCCAAAATTGTCAAATTACAATTTTCTGCAAAAATCAAGAATTTACATTATCTATCAAAAACTGAAAATTGCATTTTCTATCAAAATCGAAAAAATCGTATTTTTTGTCAAAATTAAAAAGTTGTATTTCCTTCGCATTTTCTCGTCAAAATCAAATTTTTTATTTCTCACTAAAACCAGAAATTCACATTTTGCCGCCAAACTCGAGAATTCGCTTTTTCTGCCATAACCAAGAAACTATGTTTTCCTACCAAAACTGAAAATCACATTTTTCTACCAAAACCAAGAAATTCTCTATTTCCGCCAAACCCAAGAAAATTTGTTCTCAGTAACCAGTGGAAATGCGAATCTCCAAGCTGTGATGGTCTGAGTTTCTCCTCATTTGCTTTCGCCTACCATTTTTTTTTTGTAAATTTTGGACTTTTTGATGAGTCAGCAAAATAGTAAATTAATTTTATTAGTGTGTTAATAATATGTATCATTGTTATATTTTTATTGGTTCAAATTTTTGCTGATGTGTGAGCTTCTTATAACATAACGTTTTTTGCATTGTTGTTATGGAAACATAGTTGATGATGAGTCTACACTTTCTTCAATCATATACGTCTCTATAAAGTAAATACATAGTTATAAATTTTAATTTTTTTGCTGTTATTTATTATTTGAGTTTTGTTTTGGCAAAAATATAAAACAAAGATTTAATTTTATTATTTTTTGTTATTTATTATTTGGGTTTGTTAAAAAAATAAAACAATTTTTTTATTTGCTTTTATTTATTATTTGGGCTTGGGCTTGACCAAAAAATAAAACTAAAATTAACAATAAAAAATATTTGAGTTTTTAATGGGTTTAAATTTAAAAATTAAAATAAATTGATGACTTGTATTAATGAAATGTTTTTATTGGTGTTTTTTTTTTGCTAAATTGTTATTTCCTAAAAGCTTGAAAATGCTGATGTGTCAAGCTATGGAGAGACTTATGGGTTATTGTCGTGTTGATTCATCTTTTGCATAATTAATTTACATGATGATAAAAAAAAATATTATTAATCAAGAGGCTCTGGTTTTCATTACTTTACAACAATCTATTAATTGCTAGCTGGTATCTTTATCCAACGTTAATTTTATAAAATTAAAATATTATGATTTATTGCAAACGACATATGTTCAAGTTCGAATGGGCTACTATATATAAAATTTTATTTGAATAACGATTAATAAGAATTTCTTACAAAGACTAAAATACATTACCTTTATTGATTTTATAACTAAAAATTAATTGTTTCATTCATTTAAAAAAGAAGAAGATGTGAGCTTGCATCACAAAGGTACAAATACAAAAGAAGCAAAGAGGAGGCTCAGTTGTAAGATATGCTGATTACGAAGAAAGTGTGTGTGATTGTAGCAAAGAGTCACCCTGTCGATATATTATTGATTGATACAGATTTAGAATGTGGAGAACACACGTGAAATTAAAATTATCATAACACAAGTTCCTTTGTATTAGAAATTTAAATGATATTTAGTGATAAAATAATGACTAGACTAATAAAATCCCACACGTTTCATGTATATAAGCCAGTAGATAACTCTACTTGCTCCATTATGTGATTGTGATGCGACAACACTATACTCTTAGGATTCACATGAGCTGAGCCACACAAACTCTCAGTTTTAAAGAAATCTTGAAAATAAGTAATAGTAGTGTAGTGGTGTTGCCATGACCTGAGTCAACACTAGCACACTACGTGATTCATATATAGAAAATACAAATATCAAATTACATAATCATAAGTTTGAGACTATTTTACAAAATCTGGGGTTATTGTTTATAATATTTGATCATCTTTTAATTTTTGTACCGTACTTTATGAATAAAAATGGAATAAAAAAAAGACCCAAGACAAATGTGTGGTTATAGACAATTGTTCCGCCGTTGAAACCCAGCCTTAGTCCCTCCAGCATGGATACGATGTACTAGTGCCGGTTTATTGCGGTACGTTAGCTTCACGTCAGCTTCACGTCTTGAATTCGAATTCCGGTACACGGATTCTTAGAGCTACAGTCAAGTTTCACTCCCACTTCCGTCGCTGATGTCCCGTGTATATCGAAGAACATTACATCGCTGATTTTTATCCCAGAAACCTATTATCATAAATACCAATTTAAGACTCGAATTACGAGTTTGTATGCGAATGTTTTTTTCTACAATTTGAATATAAAAAAAAAAAAACGGAAGATAACCTGGTTAGGGCAATTTTGGTTGCCAGGACAGTAGTTTTGGTCAATAATGATAGGGTTCTGTACGTTGTTCATAACACAATGTTGAAAACGGATATTCTTAGCAAACCCATTACTGGCCCTGGCCCATGACTTTATTCTCAGCCCATTCTGTGTTCCCGTAAACGTCGCCGTTTTCACCGTTACATTTTGTACACCTGCCTCTACACTCTCTCTTCCCAAGCTCCCAATGCTGTTTTACAAAAACCAAAAACTATATAAAGATTTTATTTTTGAAAATAAAATAAAATACGGCAACAATTGTTAAAAACGTTTATACGGATAAACTGAATAGGTCAGTAGAAAGTAGAAACTGGATCAAAAACGAATTAAAAACTAATAAAACTTTAACTCAGTTGATATTGACTTCATATACAATCCAATACTCTTGTAGATTTCATCAAATACCTGATCCCATGGCCGGGGCCACAAGCGACGTTTTCGATCCAGAGGCCGTTAGTGCCGGGACCGACGGAGACACAATCATCGCCGGTGGAGATATTGGAGTTGAGGATAGAGACGCTGGAGGATGACTGCACGTGGATGCCGTCAGTGTTTGGACTGTTCCCGTCAGCCCAAACTTTGACTCCTTTGATAAATACGTTACGGCAGCCGTTAATCACGACGTGAAACATCTGGCTGTTAAGTGATGTCAGCCCTGAGATCACCACGTTCCTTGAGCTCTCGATTCCTATGCTCTGTTTGTGATTGTTGCTCACGTGTCAATCACATTATTCCCAAATAAAGTTAACCATTGCTTTTGCATATTTGTACTATATATATAGGGTTACACATCAATGATTCTATCATTGGTCCATGTGAATAGTAAACATAATATCCCCAAACTATTGCATTAGTCCCCAAAAAGATATCTATAGATAAAAAAAAAATGTAACTTGTAACTTACGTTAGCGGAAAAGTGAAGAGAAAATCAGGGAAAATACATCATTTGGATCATGCTAGGAGAATTGGCAGAACTTACAGAAAACGGCGGATTTTCAATTTCAACTTCAAAATATATATTTGATAAAATGCTGTTAAAGGGTTCAACAAAACAAAGTTTTGAACAAGAGCAATAAAAGACAAAGTTGATGCATTAACTATAAATAAACTATCTTTTGTAGTACTTGTGATGAAATTTTTTTTACCAATTACTCACTTTATTGACCGGTATATGTATGGCAACAAAACAAAACTGTTCTTTTTCTAGCTTATCAAATTTTCAGTTCTCGCGAAGTTTACAAATAAGAAAGGGTTAAAATGATACCGCGGCACCATTCGGGCAGTTCTTGCCGGACTTTTTGCAAGACCATAGAGAAGCTCCCTGAGCGTCAAGAACTCCGCCGTAGACACCGAGGCGGTCGAGATGCTGGAACAAAATCCAATATCTTTCTTTACCAATGACTCGATAATCCGATGGAGCCACAAGTGTACCTTGGATACGCACCGTGACTGACTTTCGTTTACATTCGGTACCATCAAAAACAATGCTTCTTAATAAAAACCGTCCCTTGGGGACCAAAATGGTGACCGGTTTGACCGATGCGCATGCTTTGGTCCACACGGCGGTTAAGGCCTTGGTCGAGTCGGTTTTACCGTCTGGTTTGGCTCCGTAAGAGAGGATGTTGTAGGTTTTAGCTGAGGAAAGTGAGATCGAGAGGAGAAAGAGGAGAATTATGAGAAGTGAAGAAGGCATCGTTTTGAAAGAGATAAAGGAAGATTCTGAATAATGGAGGTGGGGTGTGTGGTATTTGAAACGGTTTTGTGGAAGGTGTATATATACGTATAAGTAGTACATGTGTATCTATGAAAAGTAATTATTTTGATTTTATGTTTTTTAATTTTTGGATGTAATTTTTGAATTTTTGTTGTCAGATAAAAGAAACTTGTGGAATAAAATTGTGTGGAAATAATGAACAAAAATGTTAGCATTTGAGTGGAATAATTTTTCTTTTCATTCCATTCATTTCAATGGGATATGTGGAAAAGAAAGATAATGAAGTTAAAAATCATTCCAAAACAAAAAAAAAACACTGTGAATGTAAGAAATGTAAATAAACTATATACTTTACCCACAGAAAAATTAATGTTATATAATAATATTAATTAATTTAAACTTATTTTATTTTTATTCTATTGTATTCTTCTAAAACAGTTGCCATTCATATTACATTACATTAATATTGCTCTTATTCATTCCTTTCATTTTATCTCTTTAGTTACCATTATTCTATTTACTTGTAATCCACTTTGTTAAAATCCATCTCATTCAACATATTCCTAAAATTGATAATTACAGCCTAGATCTGAAGCAGAAAGTTTGATATATAATTGTTTATACACTTGTTAACGCAAATTAATAGAACATTTTTGTTGTAAAAAATTCAGAATATTAGAAGTCGTAGTTTTGAAATTTGAAAAGTTTGTCTGTTGTGGTTTAAATCGTTTATCATGATGACCTAATTTATGTACTTAAAAAAAATAAGAGTGTTTATCTATAGATTAGGTGTTAGGTAAATGACTTTGAGCTAATGATCACTTACAATTTGATGATCTTTTAATTTTTGTACCGTACTTTATGAATAAAAACGGTTTAAAAAAATGGAATAAAAAAGACACAAGGCAAATGTGTTTACTGTCTGGTCATAGACAATTGTTCGGCCGTTGAAACCCAGCCTCAGTTCCTCCAGCATGGATACAATCTACTACTGCCGGTTTATTCCGGTACATTAGCTTCACGTCTTGAATTTGAATTCCGGTACATGGCTTCTTAGAGCTACAGTCAAATTTCACGCCCACTTCCGTCGCCGATGTCCCGTGTATATCGAAGAACATTACATCGCTGATTTTTATCCCAGAAACCTATTATCATAAAAAACCAATCAAGACTCGAATTACGAGTTTGTACGTGAACGTTTTTTCTTTAATTTGAATAAATATATATAAAAAATAGGAAGATGAACCTGGTTAGGGCAATTTTGGTTGCCAGGACAGTAGTTTTGGTCAATGATGATAGGGTTCTGTACGTTGTTCATAACACAATGTTGAAAACGGATATTCTTAGCAAACCCATTACTGGCCCTGGCCCATGACTTTATTCTCACCCCATTCTGTGTTCCCGTAAACGTCGCCGTTTTCACTGTTACATTTTGTACACCTGCCTCTACACTCTCTTTTCCCAAGCTCCCAATGCTGTTTTATAAAAACCAAAAACTATATAAAGATACACCAAACAATTCGGCACCAATTATAAGAAACGTTTAATATGGTAGAAACTGGATCAAAAACGAATTAAAAACTAATAAAACTTTAACTCAGTTAAAATTGACTTCATACAATCCAATAAACTACGTAATACTCTTGTAGATTTTCATCAAATACCTGATCCCATGGCCGGGGCCACAAGCGACGTTTTCGATCCAGAGGCCGTTAGTGCCGGGACCGACGGAGACACAATCATCGCCGGTGGAGATTTTAGAGTTGAGTATGGAGACGGTGGAGGATGACTGCACGTGGATGCCGTCAGTGTTTGGACTGTTCCCGTCAGCCGACACTTTGACTCCTTGGATATTTACGTTACGGCAGCCGTTAATCACGACGTGAAACATCTGGCTGTTAAGTGATGTCAGCCCTGAGATCACCACGTTGCTTGAGCTCTCAAACCCTATGCTCTGTTTGTGATTGTTGCTCACGTGTCAATTACATTATTCCCAAATAAAGTTTACCATTTCTTTTGCATATTTGTACTATATATATATACATACACATCAATGATTCTATGATTGGTCCATGTGAATTGGGATTATTAACGTAAGAAGTCAACTAAACATCCCATACTATTGCTTTAGTCCCAAGAAAAGATATTAATAGATTAAAAAAAAATGTAACTTTAACTTATGTTAGTGGGAAAGTGGAGAGAAAATTAGGGAAAATACATCATTTAGATCGTGCTAGCAAAATTGGCAGAACTTCCAGAAAACGGCGGATTTTCAAGTTCATCTTCAAAATATATTATTGATACAAAACAAAGATTTGAACAAGAGCAATAAAAGACAAAGTTGATGCATTAACTAATTGGGTTCATAAATAAACATATTTTGTAGTATTTGTGATACAAAAACTTTTACCAATTACTCACTTTAATGATCGGTATATGTATGGCAACAAAACAAAACTGTTCTTTTTCTAGCTTATCATATTTTCAGTTCTCACGAAATTTACAAATAATAAAGGGTTGAAATGGTACCGTGGCACCATTCGGGCAATTCTTGCCGGACTTTTTGCAAGACCATAGAGAAGATCCCTGAGCGTCAAGAACTCCGCCGTAGACAGAGAGGCCGTCGAGATGCTGGAAGAAAATCCAATAGCTTTCTTTACCAATGACTCGATAATCCGATGGAGCCACAAGTGTGCCTTGTATACGCACCGTGACGGACTTTCGTTTACATTCGGAACCATCAAAAACAATGCTTCTTAATAAAAACCGTCCCTTGGGGACCAAAATTGTGACCGGCTTCACCGATGCGCATGCTTTGGTCCACACGGCGGTTAAGGCCTTGGTCGAATCGGTTTTACCGTCGGGCTTGGCTCCGTAAGAGAGGATGTTGTAGGTTTGAGCTGAGGAAAGTGAGATCAAGAGGAGAAAGAGGAGAATTGTGAGAAGTGAAGAAGGCATTGTTTGAAAGAGATAAAGGGAGATATTCTAAATAATGGAGGTGGGGTGTGTGGTATTTGAAACGGTTTTGTGGAAGGTTATATATATATATATAGCAGTAATGTGTGTATCTATGAAAAAGTAATTATTTTGGAGTTTATATTAAATGATTTGTGGATTTATTTTTGATTTCCTGTTATATTTGGTTTTTTCACATGAAAGAAACACTATGGAATAAAAATAGGTTGATGAGCTACGCCAATTGACTGGAATAAAATTTCTTTTCATTCCAATGGGATATGCGGAAAAGAAAAGGAATGAAGTTAAAAATCATTTCAAAACAAAAAGCATAGTGAATGTAAAGAATGTAAGTGTATATATTTTACCCCAAAATAATCTTAATGTGATGTAATAATATTAATTAATATAAACTAATTTTATTTTCATTCTATACTGTATTTATATTGCATCAATCTATCTATGCAGATATATTCATTCCTTTCATTTTATTCTTTTAACTACTATTATTCCATTTATTTGTATTCCAATTTTTAAAATCCATTCCTAAACTTGATAATCAATTACAGCCTAGATCTGAAGGAGACAGTTTTATATATAATTGTTTATACGCTTGTTAACGCGCTTGAGGGAACATTTATGTTGTAAAATTTCAGAATACTGAAAGTGGTAGATTTGAATTTTGAAAAGTTTGTCTGTTGTTGGTTTAAATCGTTTATCATGATGATCTTGTTTATGTACTGAAAAAAATAAGATTGTTTATCCATAGAATAAGTGTTAGATAAATTACTATGAGAAAAATGGTCACTTATAATTTAGCAAAATCAAAATACAACTTTTATATTAATTTTAAGATTTCACCGCGTAAAAGTTCACGGATAGATTTAGTCGGAATAAATGCTTACGATTAAAGTAGAACCCAAATGTGTAAAAGAAAGTGTTCATACATAAACTTATGTTGTATTCAAATTGGATAACTGAAAAAGCAAGTGGAATGGTCAGGGAAGTGGCAGTACATATAATATCAATGCATGTGACGACTCAGTTGGTAACCGATTTTGCTTTAATTATCTCAAGAAGACAGTCAATAAAACGTTACACGATCCTCATTATTGGAAAGCAATGCAGGGAATTTACGGATCCATGCATATTAATATATATAATAAATTAGAGAAATCAAAGAAGAAATAATGTACGAAGTCGACATACGGAGCCAGAGAGGAGTGAGAAACGTGATAACTGGAGGAGAACACGGAGAAGAAATTGGCCAATATAATATCATAAGAATTTCGAGGGGATAATCATCACATGCATGGCAACAATTCAGAAAAAAATGTGATGTTTGTTAAACACAACTCATTTATTGCCTCATGCCGTATTATTAGGATCAAGAAAACTAATACTATATGGAATGAAAATATGCTAAAATTAAACCATAAGAAGAAGCATATATATATCGGCTGTCGCATGTCCTATAATGTTAAGTTCATGTTTCTTTTTGGAGAAAATGTTAAGTTCATGTTTCTCCTTTAATTCAAGATTTCAAATATCTCTCCATCTTCTTTAGCGTTTCAAAAATAACTCTTATTTTTAGTTGGCTACACATAATTAAGTTGAGTATCTTAAAAACTAGCCTGGTCTAGATGGGTAGTTGTATTCGCTCATATAACGCTGTGAAGACAAATTAAGTTTATGGCAGCTCTAACAGTCAAAAGATAGGGTGTTATTTATTTATGCAACTTAGCATTCAAGAGTTTTTAATCAGTCTGACAATCTAAAATGATTGGTGAAAAGGGGGGAAAAATATGATTAGATTAATCAAACAATCCAAACATAATTGGTGAAGTAGAATATATATAATTTTCATGGCCCAATTTGCATTATGGTGTGAAGAAGAATCGAATTTATGAAACCTCTAACGGTCAAAATTACCCGAGTTGATTTCACATTATGCAGTTCAAGTAATTGTGACCTTGTGGCTTAATTTTTGTTGCTTAATCCGATAGCCCAAACTCTCTCCCTACAGAGTTGGTATCATGGATAACTTTTGGCTTAGTTATAGTACCGTGGCAAAAAGAAGCTCTACAATCTATTTATTTTTACATTAACATCCCAAACATAATACGAACTCTCTTCAAAATCACAAAACCAACATAAAAGCATAAAGAAGTCTCTAGCCTCCAACTACATAATAATCCACATTACATTTTACAACTTACATTAAGCGAGTGATAATTAAAAGGAAACACACACACACACACACTATAACGTGCGGCTTGAAGTAGCAAATCAAACATAATATTGGGCCAGAAAGATAATATGATAAAAGGCCCAATTTCAAAGTCTTGAGCTAAACAGAAGGATAGCGCTCGTCTCTCCAACAAAGCTACTACACGCAAGCGATAAGAACTTCCGTACAGCCCTTAGAGAAAAAGATGCCACGCCCACATATTTTGTCCTTCACAATAGATCCGACCAGCCGCAATCATTGAAATAACCACAGAGCTCATCATTCACTAAAACGAAGACTATGCATGTATTGTTTGGATCCATCTTGCATGTATTGTTTGGATCCATCTAATGAACCTATAGTAGAGCTAATCATCCATACATGTAACGGAATTTAAAATGAATACATTCAAAGTCAAAGAAGTGCCTCCAAGGAATACCACTAGGCAGAAATGCAACAACCTAGTGGACCGCCCAATAAAGGTTATTTTAAAATACTGCAAACTAATTATATACATATTTCATTACAATAAGTACACAGTTACTTACTGATTTGTCATCTATTGAGTAGTTTGAATTTCGAAAAGTTACTAAACAAAAAAAAAAAACTCATGTGAAAAATAACAGAAATGCATTAGCTAAGAAATCAATTTAATTGAAAAATAACAGAAAAAAAGAAACCAATTGTCAAATGTTAGGGAAAGAAAGATAGACAAATGAAAGAGTGTGTGTGTAAATCAACAAAACCACTACCGAAACCATAAACCTCCCAACTTCCCCAACACAGAAACAACAAAACCTCTTTCTCCTTCTCTTGCTCCTAGTTTTATTCTTCTTTCTTCTTCTTCTTCTTCCATCTATCTTTCTTTAACGATTCATATAGACACACAACAAAAGAAGAAACGAGCCAAAAAAACTAATATATATTAATGGATGGTTTAATTCCAATGGCGTTTAAGGCTATGAAGAAAAACCGGACACGTCGGCGTTACGAGTGTCTCTCTTCCTCCGGCGGTACGGCTAAAGATTCCTACGACGACTCTGACTTCTTCCCCTTCGCCGGTAATAAAACCGATCAATCCGTTGTATCTCGATCGTCTTCGTCTTTTGATCATATAGAGATGAACAACGGCGCTGCTGATCAACACCGTCACCGTCGTGGATGGTCCATCGGAGATTTCTCTTCGATGTCTTGTCGGGAAGGAAGAAGACCTGGTGGCCACGGCGGCGATATCGGTTTTTCTCCGACGCGGCGAGGACAGCTTGTGAGGAACAGAAGCCATAGATTGTTCTCTTGTGTCTCAGGTGAATGATTTTATCGATCCATAAAGCTAAATCTCAGCTCAGTAAACCTTCATTTTCCATCTTGTTTTTTTCTTTAATTTTGAAATTTTGTTTGGTTCCAAAGATCTGAAGTTGTCGAAAAAAAAAAAACAAATATGCAGATTTTGTTCTTCGTGTGATATTCTGATTATGATGTGTAAATTTTTGGGGTTTGTTTTGTTAAGATATGCTTATTGGGGGTCCAAAAGATAAAGAAAATTTTTAGTGGTTCAAATAAACGAAATATTTTACTATTTCCCAAAAGTCTTGTTGACCTAATACAGTTGACGATACGCTGTATCGTACACGAACACGGTGTTAGTTTGAAATTGTCTAAGATCATACGTGTGCTTTGCATTAAAAAAAGGTTCCTACGTGTGTCTACTTTGCTACTGTGTTCCTTGATTGTCCCCAAAAAACACCTTAAAAGTCTATTAATAAACAAAGACTTAAACTACGAAAATATGATCACCTCAAAGAAAAATTATCCGTAAACATTCATCCAGCTGGTAAAAGAAATTCTATTTTTTTAATGGACGGAAATGTCTTTTTTAACTCAAGAGTTTCAACATGAAACTTTTATCGAGTTCAGTATATGAATCAGATATATATTTGATGTAACATGTAAAATTAAAAAAATGTAGTTCGAGTGAAAAATATTGATTTTACACACACGTATCCATGTAATGAAAGGGCTATAGAAACATCCAAAATAGAGGCTCCTCTTTTGTCAAAGTTGAAATAAAAAAGGTCACAGTCCGAAGGGTCCCGAACCAATCTCTGGCATAAACTAATAATTGAGTTTTTGAACTTGCCTGAAAAAGTTTTAAGAATTTTTAGTCTAAAATTGGTGGGAAACTGGTTTATAGCCATAATAATATCATTTGTAAAAAAAAGGAAATCTAGTGTAACCCACAATGTAAATACTCCTTCCTTTTTTAAGTTTGATGTTTTAACTTTTTTCTTTGTTTTAAAAAGATTGATGTTTTAGGTTTTAAATAATATATTTAGTTTTTTAAAAACCTGTTAACCAATAAAGAAGAGAGAAATAGTACTAATATATTATTAAAAAAATAAAAAGTAATTAAAAAGTAAAATAACAAATAATTATTAAAGTGTGTCTTAATATATGTGAAGATGTAAAACATCAAACTTAAAAAAGAAAACGGAGAGAGTAAGTAATAGGAAAGTCAAAGAAGTAGCTAAGACTCGTTTCGTTGACTTTTCTTTCCGGTCACATTTCTCTACAATCACAACTTCGATGTATCTGATGATCATATATGATCCCACTCGTATGAACAAGATTCTTTTTCATGAGCTAGCTAAAAAAGCATGTCAAAGAAGTTACAAACTAAGATAATACTGCAGAATCATCACCCTAGGAAGCTTTTCGACTCTTCTCCTGCTATTTGAGATCATCCAGGTGATGCAACTACTTCTTGAGCTGATTTGACGACAAAATCCTACAGATAAAACGGCTACAAAGATGCTAAAACATGATATAGAGATTCCAAGAGGCGATGCAAAACCATGAAAGCGTTTGTTGATGGTCATCTAAACCAATCCATCAACACGAGGATGATCGATTTGCATAGATGTCAATCAACAAACATATTCAAGGGTTGCAAAAGAGAAAGAACAAAAAAAAAAACTGTAATGTTCATGGATGTTAAAGATGTATAAAAACAAGTGTGGGATTGTGAAAGTACAGACAAGAACATGAATCCAAACAAGAATATTCTCTGGATATTCTTAAGCATATGCTTTGGAATAAACCTTTTCTTCTGATTTGAGAGGGATTACTACTGCCAAGCATGATGAAATGAAAAATCGAAAATAAATATAAACTAACTTGACGTCTGTAGAGAACTTCTTGATCATTCTCATCCTCCTCTTAAGGCTAACAAATGTAGCATTTTCTTAACTACATGAGCAACCCTTTCAGGGTCAATCTTGAGCTTTATGCTTAAGAATCAGAGGATATTGTGCTATAAGCCTATAACCAAAAGCTAACTTATCTCTCTCGTAAAGCCTAAACTAATCAAGCGCTCTACATTTTGTTTCACAGCCTTTTTTCATACCCGAGGATATATCATAAGATTGCCGACTTAAAAACATTAAAAGACATTGTTTAATGCTTCAAAAGACCGGAACAGAGGACATAACATCGAAGGTTTTCAACTATAACATAAGTCATACAATGCAAGCCAAAGGGGAAACAAGAAAAACTAGTTGAAACCCTCTGGTGGTTTCAGAAGCTTGTCTTAATAAGGCAGAAGTAGAAGCCAAACATCAAATCCACAGCTGATTTGCTTCGGTATGTCTTGTAACTCTTCTAGCTTCAAAATCTGGTCAATGTCACTGAGGTTTTTAGTGAAGCTTTCGCTTGGGATTTGTTCATCGCATGTTTCCCTCTCTCAAGACATCGATCATGTTATAGATCCGCTTCTCTGCTTTAGACCGGATCTGCAGTTCATGAATGTGTGTCATCAGCAGACTAAGAAACAATGCAAATTAATAAGAAAAGCAGATTTAAAGATTAAAATAAATGCAATATTCGATCTCTTGAATCTTTTGAAAGAAGATGTCTAACCTTTTTGGCAAGGAAAAGCACGGCATCGACAGTACCTTCCGCGTATATTGATCTTCCGCAAACATTGTGCTGGAACTCAAAGGACACACTTGAAAAAAGAGGGAAGAAAAACTAATGTTAGAGACAAAATCAGTTTTAAGCAAGTAGAGAAGAATGAAAGAGAAACAATGAAAATGTCTTAAAATCTTTGACATACGTTTTATCTGGTGATGTCAAGTGATAAAGATGGAAAGCATGACCCGAGATATGCTCCTCCGGAACACCCACTATCTCCATCTGCTCCTTAGGATCTCGAACCAATCGTATCTGGTTTCAAAAAAGCAAGCAGATGCAAAATGAATGGTCTTGCTGAAGGATGAGAAACGATAGACCGTAGAGAACAATGTATGTACGATCAAAGCACCTGGTCCATGTCGTAAGACACGCCCAATTTCTGGAAGCAAGAAATAACAGCTTTTGCGGTCCCAGATGCATCCAGTTTGCTGGACTGATGAGACTCCATCACCTATATATAGAGCCGAGCTAATCAGCCATACTGTTGTTAACTCCATTTTAAAAGAATACACTCAGAGTGAAAAAGAGCTACCTCTAAGGAATAACCAGCAAAGGCACCAGGAAACTGCTCAGACATGATCTCCATGGCTGCAAGAAACGCAACAACCTAGTGGACCGCCCAACAATGTAAATATATTAGGCTTCACAAAGAGAAGATGTTATATGCATTGTATACAGCTTTTATGACACATTGGATACTAACAAGTAAGCACCTGTTTACCCATCTGTGGGGAAATCACAGCATATATCTTTGACTCCTCAACAGTTTTATACAATTTTGTCCTGTCTCCTCCAGTTGTTCCCATGACGAAGGGAACTCCTACTTTGCCATATAGCTCTGCATTATCTACATTTCGCACACACACACACAGAATTCAACCTTGAAATCAACCAATGGCAGAAAAAGCAAATTCTACTTTGCATAAACCACGTTCATTTATTAAATTCCTCCAACATATTATGATGTTCTACTATACACTTTCTACAGAATTACATAAACACGAGATACTGGATTGTACCATTTACTGCCGAGGGGATTGTGTAGTCGACAACAATGAGTTCCGGATACTTGTCAAACACAGAAGACAGGACCTTTTCTCTGTCAGTAGGACCATGCACAAGAATCTCCTTCCCACAGACCTCAACTCTCTGGCCAGCCTCTTCAGCAGATCCAAACGATGCAGGAACGATATTCACTCCTGCAGAATCCGCCGCTTTGATCACAGCTTTCCCCATTTTCCCACTGCATCCATTCACCTGAGGCATACACAGAGAGAGAGTCATTGGCTTGAATTGATCCCTACGATTACACGCTTGCAGAGAAGATACTCTGTTTCTAAAAAAAAAATGTAACTTGACCCTAATGCTATAACTAGAAAGAAAGGCGATAGCTTTCCACAAAAAAAATATAAAAGACAATAGCTTTCTAACAATGTAATTCCGGGGAAATCACAGAACTTTGATGCAAAAGTTAAATCTGAAAACTTTAGGGAAATGATCAAATACCATGATGGATATGCCGTTACCGGGAGCAGGAGCGACGGACTTTCCGGCTTCCTCTGAGGTCGCCATTGACAGAACAACCGGAAAACAGCGTTTCCCTTTGCCCAGGAAACTAACACGGTCGCCGAGTAGATCCAGTTGACTCGTTCTAGAGGAAAACGAGAGACGGTGGTTTTCAGGACGATGAAGAAGCACATTGGATGACGCCATCAGCCTGTGATCAAATGATTCAGAATCCCAGACAAGAATACAAACAAACAAATTGATTTCATTCATTAACGCAATGCCGGAAGAGAAGAAGGCCAGTTTAGAGAATGTACCCATTCGCCGCCATTTCGTTTCCGATTCAAACTCCGAGTTTTCTTCCGAGCGACGATGTCACAGTTCAATTTCAAAGTTGTGTCTGAAAAAAGAGAGTATCGACCGGCGAAAACCGAACGGTAGGATTCTAGGGTTTTAGACATTTCTGATTTACGTCAGATCCAAAGCTAATGTCAAAACCAGAATTTCCCTTTATTTTCATGGTCCAAACCGGAATTTCTAATGAAAATGATCAAAACCGGAATTTCTCTCTAATGAATGGTTCAAAACCGAAATTTCTCTTTATCTAAGATTCCAATGGTCAAAACCGGTTCTGAGGATGATTGGATTTGGATATATGGGATGGGAGAAAGTTATCTATAGATTACCCTTTCAAATGACAGTGTATGGAATTGAAAGAAAAGGTTATAATAAGGTAAAGTTAGGCTGTGATTCCAAATAAATTATAACCTTATTTAGACCTAATGGATGATATCTCTTCATATCATAAAAAAAAAGCCAAATTATGTAAAACATGCTAATTATAAATTAAAAACTTGAAAAAGTTGAATTTGAAACCATAAAACTGGCATAAACTATTTATCAGGATAAATGCAATGAACCTAGTGACCTCATGGAAGCAGATATACATCTTCTTTTTTTTCTCATCATCAGTCATTTCCCTTTCAATCTCTGTTTTTAAAGTAATCAAGGCTTGATTAATAAAAAGTTAAACACATAAAAGTATACATTATTTTTTGTCTTTATCACGAAGAAATAAACACACACCTTTTTTCTTCTGATACTCTGAACCCTTAAACACTTTTCAATTAACTTGTTTCCATGATAACATCACTCATGAAAACGACCAATCTTTTAACATTAAACCCCCCAAAAAACGACCAATCTCTATTAGACCAACCACTTAAATGTTCCGGAGCTATAAATAACAGATGCTTGTCGGGAAGAGACGATCTTTAAATAAAAGTAATTTGGTTTAAAATTTTCACATGAAAAAAAGAAAAAAAATCCGTAGCAGATAAAAAAGAAAAGCAAACAAAAGAGGGGATTGGAGAATGGAGAGTCGTACGAGGAATATTGATTAGGGCAAGTCGGTTTGGTCGACACTCGCGAGATAATGCATTGAATCAAACGAAAATAGCCACGTGATGTTACATGTGCCGTTCGATCCTCAATGTCTCTCATCGCCTTTCTCCTTGTAAATCAACCAAACTATACTATAGCTATTTCCCACCAAATTATACTTTTTTGATCGAATACTATAATCGAAGAACATGATTGAGTTTAAAATATTCGACGACGTGATGAAACTGAGCATATGGACCTTACTATTTGTGACTATTACAATGCAACAGTTGTCTAAGAATTAGACCAAAACATATGTCTATGCATATGGACTGTCGAAGACTAAGATATACTAAATGGTTACATATATAATAACTCCTTTGTTGTAACTAAAAGGTAACTAATTTATTTTAGAACTTAATAAAAAAAAGAAAACATAATGTAGGATGTGTAAAATGATTGAGTAATTGGTTTCAAAAAGTGATTGAATAATTAAAACTACAACTATGAAATAGAAGGAGAGAAAAAATTTTTGATATATATAACTGACTTTATTAAAAGGACAGAGGGAATATATGATTTTTATATACTAAACCTATTATATATATTATTCGAATTTTGTTGCAGGTCCACGGGACATTCAATCTAAAAGGTGACAAGGTGCGGTGTTCAAGGCAATAATCATGCATGGGTTGCCATATATACACATCTCTACCTTCACTTTCCACCATTTGCTCGTTTAGTCTTTCAAAAGACAATATTGAAAAACATAAGTATGGATGTTTAATCTAAATATAATAATACGTCTTGGTTATTAGTTTATGTGTACTGTAAAAAATAAATCACTACTTTTAGCATTTTAGAAGTTTTGTTAATCGTTGTTATAAGGTAAACGCCAAAAACACGCAAACAAAAATGATTTTCTGTCTGCGTTTTGTTTTTGCGACTACAATTAAATGAATATTATGATACGGTTACAAAATTTGGCATTCAAACAAATAACTGTTAATAAACTAGCCGTTAGAAAATCTCATAGTAAGTTAGGTTTCTTCTTAATTAAATCTCATAGTAAGTTAGGTTTCTTCTTAATTAAGTCTCATAGTAAGTTAGGTTTCTTCGTAATTATGATTAAAAAATACTAAAAGTGTATATAAATTAAAACACATTTATCAGAAAGGAATTGTTTGTTTTCTAATATCGAATAGTATCATCAGTTTGTTTATGATGTCCCATTTTCTTTCATTTCTTGGGTCAACGGTGAGATCCATTTTCGCGTCCCTAAATATACGATTTTCGAGTAGTTCTATAAAGTACTATGGCAGATCTTTCAATATGATCTTCTACTATATTATAAAACTTAGGACATTTTCCATGCAAATTACTTTGTTGGTGCATGTCAAAGAGTTATATATATTTAAATTATCTTTACGTATAGTTAATCTGACAAAATTAAAATAATGTTATTGCACATTTTATAATTATATAAATCTGGATAGTGTTATAGAATTTGGTAATCTATCAATTTCCGAAACTACTAATCGGCTATATATATATATCCAAAGGCCAGAAACAAATCTAATAAACCACATGACGTTGTCTCTGAAAGCCCTCCCATGTTTCTCAATTCATTGAACCATGTACAAATGTAGATTTCAAGAAAGGAGATTGCCCAAAGAACACAAAGAAGACTGATTGAAACGAATAAAGATTTCACAATCGGTTATTTAAGCCAAGTTTGATTGATCTATTTAAACCAATCAATAAATGAGATAGCCAAGCCAAATTAACAAGAATCAGTTGAGCCAAACACAAACCGGTCTGACTATCTATTGATAACTTCACTTTATATATAGAAATATACTGAGACTTGAAAATAAGCATAAATTTTGGCCCAACAGTTCCCACTAAAACCAATACATTAACCATATGAAGTGCCTTGGAGAAGAGCAACACTATGGGTCCTGGTCGATTCATAAACATAGACAAAATTATTGGTAGGTATGATGATTAAAGTAATCTCCTCAACGCATCAATATTGATATTTCAAGTTAAAAATAACACTTACTTACTTAAAAACCAGTCGAATTAACCAAAAATGTCTTTAAAACTCTAGAATATATAATTATATATATATATATACAAAAATTCAATAGTTCTAAATACACTAGTTTTTAATTCCAACGAGTACACTATTTTTGAGTATTGTATTATGACCGCTATTATTCAAAACAATTCATTAATTTAATATCACTGCCATGTCAGCTATAAGAGATTCTAGCTTACGTCATGTCCATGCTAAAACAGTAAAAGTAAAGCAGAGAGAGAGAGAGAGAGAGAACAAGTCCAGGGGAGAAGAACCTTGTGATTGTGGAGGAAGACTAGGCCACACGGAGTTATTTTGTTTACTAAATTCTCAAAACAAAATCAAAATTTCAAATCTTACAAAATCAGCAACTTGCCTCTCACATTTGTCAGCCCCCTTATAAAAACAAAGTTTCCTCTTTTTTCTTCTTTTCAACATTTCAGAAAATCCCTAAATTCACTGAACCTTCCCCATATTTTCTGATTCTTCTCTGATCCTCTCCAAGTCCTTTATATATAACCCCAAAAGATTTTCCCTTTTAATTATGTCTTCTTGTTTTCTTTTATAGCTGTTCGTCTTCCTCATTTGCTACTAGTAGACGTCTCATACAGATTCGAGATCACACCAAACCCATAATTTTGGTGAAAAGTCTTCTTCTTGGCTCTAATAGCTTAAAGGTACTGATTTCTTGTTTGAGGTTTTCTGTATTGATTTGAGACTTAATCCGATTTCTACTCCATAACCAGTTTACTAATCATAACATCGACAATTTCTTTATGCAGCTTTGGTTTGAAAAAGCTTCTTCTTTTAAATCTGAATCGCTGAGTTGACTCGTCAAGGAACTCTGCATCCTCTGTTTCTGGATCTTGGGCCATCGTGATTTGTCTCGAATTCGTCACCAATTGTTTCGATTAAGCTGCATTGGGTTAACCAGAAGCTTAAGAAAAGGCTCGTTGCTTTTCCTTGCATTTAGGTTTGAGCAAAAAATCGGATCTTGATACATTTTCTCACCGAGTCTTCTGAATCCGAATCAGACCCAGAAAACCTCACTAGATGATTCGCGAAATCCCAAACTTGGAAAACGACATCATAAACATTCAAGACCGTTATTCAAACAACCTAATCATGGACGTCGGAAGAAACAACCGGAAAGACATCAACTTTCGCCGTCCGCCGGGAACGGCGTCAGAGAGTCACAAGCATGAGTTACGGCGGACCTTCTCGTCGCAGAAAAGGTTGATGATTCCGGCGAATTATTTCAGTTTAGAGTCTCTGGTTCTACTGGTGGGACTTACGGCGTCTCTGTTAATACTTCCGTTAGTTCTGCCGCCGTTACCTCCGCCTCCGTTTATGCTGCTTTTGATTCCGATTGGGATTATGGTTTTACTCGTGGTTCTTGCCTTCATGCCTTCTTCGTCGAAGGCCAAAGATGTAACTCGCACTTTTATGTAAATCTGTTACTATTGTATTTTATTAAATCTTAGGTTTCTCAAACCAAAAATATACTAATTTTCTTTACTATCTCTTCTACGAACATCATACACATTACCTTATAGGGTACGTAAACTTAGTTGGTAGAATATTTCGATTGTAGTTTTGTATACCTAACTTTTTTGTCCAAGTATCAAACTTTTCAAGCCATCAACGTTTTTCACGTTTGTTGACTGGAAAAAAAAAATACATAAATTAATACACTGTTTAAACTTTAAACCCCCAAAAATGTAAAACTGTTGGGATAGAACGTATGTACTATGCAAAATCAAGTCCAGCCCATGAATAGTTGTCGGTAAGGCCCAATTAGGAGCAAAACCATGAGTTGGACATGAGAGATGGATTTGTTTTGTAAATTTTTGTCGATAAGGCCCAATAGGTCCTGCTGCTCTTGTTGGACTCGTCCATGGACAAAACGTTGGGAAGCAAGTCCTTAAGATGGCTCAAGAGTGAGATATATCAGTTATCGTTATGGTTACGTTATGTAGAATCATACCAACATATGCTAGGAGATTTCCAATGGTTTGCACCAGATAATAGTGCAAAGATAATATTATGATTGTTAAATCTGTTATGTGTTTTTAATTGTATTGGGTTTATTATTCACGATATCCTAAACGTTGAACAGATTAATGTTCAGCCTTCTATTTGCCTTATGAGTGTATAAAGAGCATCGAAATGCTACATTACATTTTACAACACTTTTTCCGAATAAAATGTTTAG